CCCTACTGAACTGCACCCTGATCGCACTCCTGACCTGTCAGCCTGCCCACTTCGGTTGAAGTCTGCTGCTCTCTRCTATAGCAGTCTTCCCAGTGCCAGGAGTCCTGTCTATTCTCACTGGCTCTGAGGCTCCCCAAACAGTGCACAGTACTTCCTGGGTATTCCCTATTCACAGACCCAGGTGGTCTTCTGCAGTAAAGCGTGTCTGTGCTACGGAGTGCTGTTGGTGACACAGGCCCAAGGGAGAGGCCAACCTTCACCATGGTCCATGGAGCTGAACAGCAGCAGATTAACACCCCAGCTCCAGGGAACTCTCTAGGGTGAGGGAAGGAAAGGAATCCAGTTCAGCTGCTCACAGTCAGCATTGACAGCCCCAGGGACAACATCTGCACCCAAGCAGGGGCTGTGCCTCTGAAGTCTCTCAGCTCACTGGGGGCCACAGTGAAGAGTGGCAACCTGGGGAAGACGCTGTGTGGATCTGCCAAGCTGCAGGCAGATCCTTGGGCTAGACACCACCCAGCTCTTGGGTCTGCCAGCTTGTTTTCACCAAAGCCAGATGATTGCTTAAAGGAAAAGAAAATGGACCCTTTTAAAAGAAGTCAACAAAATCACCATGTCACAACAGAACTGAAAGCCAGTCCCCTTCCAAGGGTGAATCATTTTCACTTGTTCTTGGATGGTTCCTGCAAGTTCACCAACAAGTGACCCCTGCCTTAGTGGCCTAGGGGCCTAGGGTACCTCTGCTCCAGACCTGGCAGGGGCAGGAGGGCCATGGGAGATGGCCTCTTCTTGTCTCCACCATGCTCAGGGAAAGCCTCCCATGGAAATGATCGCARGAAGGCAGAATGACCTCCCAGTGAAGCCAGCAGGACATGAGGCACTGCCCAAGCCACTAGTACAGATGCAGGTGGAGGGCATACTCTTACATCTGAACAAAGACTTACTTAAAAATGTCTACTTTTATAATTCATAATTCTCATTGCTCAGACTGATGTTCCCTGATGAATGAGTGTTCCAAACCCTAAAGGACTATAAAAAATTTTGGGATTCCCTTTTTGTCTGCTCTCACGAGTGGGCAGATAAGCACTCTATGAAAGCAGCAGGGTGACTAAGAGAATACCACTTTTGAAGACAAAAAGAGAGCTCAATTCTTTTTTTTTTAAAGAGAGAAAGAGAGAAGAGAGAGAGAGAGAATTTTAATATTTATTTTTTAGTTTTCAGCGAACACAACATCTTTGTTTGTATGTGGTGCTGAGGATCGAACCCGGGCCGCACACATGCTAGGCAAGCGCGCTACCACTTGAGCCACATCCCCAGCCCAGAGAGCTCAATTCTTAAGTGCAAGAAATGCACAATGAGGGCTAGTGTGACTCAGGAGGACTGCATTTGCCTAGCTTCTCAGGAAGCTGAGGCAGGAGGATTGCAAGTTTGAGGTCAGCCTCAACAATTTAGTGAGACCCTGTTTCAAAATAAAAAATAGAAAGACTAGAGATGAAGCTCAGTGGTAAAGCACTGGGTTCAATTTCCAATACTGGGAGTGGGGGAGCAGATTTCCAACCTGATGAAAAGGTATTAAAAAAAACAGCCCCAGGCTCAAGTTGTAGTGTGCTCGCCTAGCATGCATGAGGAACTGGGTTTGATTCTCAGCACCACTTAAAAAATAAAGATATTGTGACCACCTAAAACTAAAAAAAAAAAAAAAAAAAAAATAGCCCCAGAGCAAACTCAGTTAAAAGACAAAACCCTAAAATGTAGTTCTTTGGGGCTGGGGATGTGGCTCAAGCAGTAGTGCGCTCACCTGGCATACATGGGCACTGGGTTCGATCCTCAACACCAAATTAAAAAAAAAAAAAAAAAGTAGTCTTTAAGATAAAAAGCTGGCAGCAACTGCTGGTGACACTGTGTGGGGAATCACAGGGAGCAGATAAGCCAAAGAGAAGAGACAGGGAGAAACAAGGCTGCAGCACATGAATGGCATGGCTGCATGCACAGAAACCCAGGGCTGCACCACCAAAGGCAAAGCTGCAAAGCAAAGCTGCCTGCCTGCCTCCCACCACCTGGGAAGGATCCAGAACGACAAGGATCAAAGCCTCCTCAGAGAGACCCTACAGCCTCGGAGACATGGAGAGCACCAGTGCAACATCTGAGAGGGTCGGAGGCAGAGAAGGCCCTGGAAGGCCCAGCGAGGCTTGGAGGAGGACGTCCCCTCTGGAGCAACCTGGAAGGCTGGCTCTGAAACACTGGGGTGAGGAGAATCAAGCCCCTGGAGTAGCAGAGGGGGGAAGCAGGGAGCCGGGTATGCAAAACAGCCAGAGTCACTGTGATAAGACAGCATGGCACTGGTGCTGGGTTAGGAAAACTGGGCGACAAACAGGGTCTGGAACCCCGCCTGTGTGACTTGTGGAAATGACTGATGGCAGAGAGGAGAGCATGCTCACAGAGGGATTTTCCTTCAACAGAAGGGACCTCAGACACGGCTAGGAACTAGAGAGAGGCACTGAAGGGGCTTTCCTTGTGAGCAGGGTTCCTCAAGGCAACAGCCCGCTTGGAGCCTGCTTGGAGACACAGCAGATGAGGAACCACCACCAGGAGGGGCTGATGGCAATGAGACAGAAGCCCTCTCCCCACTCTTGGCGGCGGCCACCTCAGGAAGTGCAGACATTGTGGCTGCTGCATAGGGCTATTGTGAAAAGGTCAAAGACACAGGGGTTTCAATCATGCCGCCATTCTCTGAGATGTCAGCAAAATCTTAGGGTGCACAGGGCAGGATGCTCACCATTTTGGCTTCATGAAGCAGGAGCCAAACCCAAACTTTCACTTTTTCTTTTTCTTTTTCTTTTTTTTTTTTTTGGTACCAGGGATTGAACAGGGGTATTTAGCCACTGAACTACATTCTCAACAGTTTTTTTTTGTTTTTCAATTCTTTATTTCTTTATTTTTGAGACAGGGTCTCACTAAGTTGCTTAGGACCTCACTAAATTGCTGAGGCTTGCTTTGAACTTGCAATCCTCCTGCCTCCTGAGCCACTGGGATTACAGGTGTGCGCCTCTGCGCCCAGACAAACCTCAGGCTTCTAAAGGACAGACTGCACCTCCAACAGCCTCTTCAGGCCAAGGAGATAAAGCCTTAAGGTGGGCTGGCCCCTTACAAGTCACCTGAGAACCTGTATGCCTCTAAGTGGAAACCTTAGGGCCCCACTTCTGATGGCAGGGCAACTGGGCCTCACCAAAACCAAGTCTCTGGAGAGCATCATGCTAAGTGAACTGAGCCAAATACAGAGTGAAGGATCCAAGACTTTCTCTCATAAGCAGAAGCTATTCCAAAATAAGGGGGAAAGGCAGGGGCATCCCATGAGAWAAAAGAAGAGATACGTGGAGTACAGAAAGGGGATTGAGGAGGAGAAAGGAGGGATGGGAAAAGGAAGGAATGCAATCAACCAAACCATCCTGTGTGTGTACCTGAACACACCACAATGAATTTCACCTTTATGCATATCTGTACCGCACTGATTTAAAGAAAAACTGTAAACATAAAGAAGACAGACAACGGGCTGGGGATGTGGCTCAAGCGGTAGCGCGCTCACCTGGCATGCGTGCGGCCAGGGTTCAATCCTCAGCACCACATACCAACAAAGATGTTGTGTCCGCCAAATACTAAAAAATAAATATTAAAAATTCTCTCTCACTCTCTAAAAAAAAAAAAGAAGACAGACAAGTAGAGTGGAGGTAAGAGAACAGGGGGAGGGAGGAGGGAGGGAAGGGGAAGCACTGGGGGACTGGATTAGAGCAGATTACATTCCATACTGGTATAATTATGGCAAAATGAACCCCAACATTTTTTATAACTATGAAGCACCAATAAAAAAAAAATTGGTGGCTTTAACCAAAAAACAAAAAACAGTCAAGTCAGACCGAGTCAGCCACCTGTCATGGGAATGGAGATGACAGCTACCACCTACTTCTCCACAGTGCAGAGCAGAGCCCCAGCTGCAGGAAGAGGCCCTGGAATCTCTGGCTCCTTCATACATAAGGACAATGAATACCCCCACAAAGAGGGCAGAGTGGCCCACAGAGCACACAACCAGAGACTGAACACAGAGAGCCGCGGCAAGCCCGAGAGCGGCAACTGCCTAGGAGAAAGGGCAGTGGAGCTGCTCCAAAGTGACAGGCAACAGCAGTGGTAGATGAGGATGCCGAACAGTCGTCACAATGGCATCTGTGTGTTCAGAGGAAGTGGTAATAGGGAAACATCAAAAACAGCAAGGGAAGCCAGGCACTATGGCGCATACCTGCAATCCCAGCAGCTCAGGAGCCTGAGGCAGGAGGATGGCTAGTTCAAGGACAGCCTCAACAACTTAGCGAGGCCCTAAGCAACTCATTGAGTCCCTGTCTCAACATAAATTATCAAAAGGGCTGCGGGTGGGCTGGGGTTGTGGCTCAGTGGTGAAGCATCCCTGGGTTCAATCCTAGTACCAAAAAAAGAGAGAGAGACAGACAGTCAAGGGAAACCTCCAGCAGTGAAACCACCCAGTCTGAGACTACCTAGGTGGCAACAGCAGATCAGACATTGCAGAAGTAGAGATTCATGAATCTGAAAACAACACCAACTGTCCAAAATGAATCAGAGAAGAGACTAAAAGAAGATGACCAGCATGCACTGTGGGATTTGAAGTAGCCAAGGTGCACATGATCGAAGTCTCCAGAGGGCAGAAAGAGACCCAAAGCTTCTTTCACCACCTTCTCATGGCTAGACACTGACACCCCAGTTGCCACAGTCTGGTTTGGTGTTGTATGGTTCCACTCCAAATTAAATGCCTCACCAAGCCTGAGTAGCTAAAAACAACCCCCAGAAACGCAACAGAAGCCTCAATCCACAAGTCGAACTCCAGGCCATCACGGCTGACCAGTGACGGATACCATCAGAAGGCTACAAGATGAGCAGAGTCCAGGAAGGCTCAGAGCCCTGTGTGCACAAATTCCTTTTGTACTACTGCATCTTACCTTATAGAAAACATCAGGCACGTACTGCTCACTACTGGACTCCTTGGCGTAGCCGAGCTCAGGGGCATCCTTGCACGGCAGCAGACATTCATCGCGGACTAGGGCCATGCACTGATTGGATACCTGATACCCCTCAAAGTGGACCTGGTTGTCGGGACCACCTGCAAGAGACAGAGCTTCAAAGAGAATCTTTTAAAGGAGATCCAGAATTAGTCCATGCCTGCTCTCTGCCGACCCACAGGAAGCAGATGCTGGGGAGTCTGTTCCAGGAAACTTGGCGGTGGCTGACGCACCAGACTCAGCACATTCCTCCACAGCTGCCCAGCCTCACAGGCACTACCACACCTGTCAGTCCGTCAGAAATCCAGGCACTGAACGTTAATGATCCCCAATAGCCACCCCCAAAGTTGTGCTTAGTGTTATCAAGCACGCAGGCTCTTGGTTTTTATCAACAGTGGGATTAATGAACATAGCTCTGCATTCCACATGCTTCAGTGCCAGAATGAAGGGACTGGGCAGGAGATGAACTCACCTGGGGTGGGCAGGGTACCAGGTGTAGGAACAACACAGAACCGGCCTTCAGAACAACCCTGCACCCACGCTGCACATGCAGCGGTCTCTGCCTTACAGAGACCTGCACGGCAACACAAGGTTAATGTCCTAAGCACTGCCTTTCATGTGAGGAGGCATGGTGGACATATGGCCCCTACACTCATGGCCCCTGCACTACCCTCCAATGTTTCCCTCTTTCCCTCCCTCCCAAGCTCCACTCCACAGAACCTTAAAGTTAGAAACATGGAGCACAAACAGCTGGTAAGAAGAAAGAACCCGGCCAGCTAACCCAGATCTTTAAAGTCCAGGGGTGGGCAAGGCAATGAAGAGCTGGGCCTGGGGCAGACCTCTGCCACCAGATGTGCTCCAAGAATCAGGGCTATGGGGCTGGGGATGYGGCTCATGTGGTAGCACGCTCGCCTGGCATGCGTGCGGCCTAGGTTTGATCCTCAGCACCACATAAAAAGAAAGATGTTGTGTCCGCCGAAAACTAAAAAAATAAATATTAAAATTCATATTCTCTCTCTCTTTCTCTCTCTCTTAAAAATTCTGGAGAATACAAATCTCTCAGTATCTCTATTTCAATTAAACAAAGAAGAGTAATTTACTGATGAGAGAACAGAAATTCAGTCCATCTAGCTTTCAAACAAGTATCAGAAACCAGACCTGATGACCAGGCAATTGGAAAAGGTGGAAGGCACGGGCAGAGCCAGCCCCCAGCAAGCGGACAAGGCAGGCTGCTGTCTGTTCACCTTTACACCCAGCAGGCCAACCAGATCTGGTAGTGAAATGCTGAGTCTCCAAAGGCCCCACTGAATCTAGAACTTTCTCTCATTCCCTAACACCTCAGCAGCACACAGGCTCAGCTCTACAGTGTGTCTGGTTGTACAAAGACAAAGCACTGGTTCAGGAAGCGTAGAGGCGAGGGATGAGGAGTGTTGAGGAGCCACCTTATGCGCCACTGTGGACCCACATTGTTTTTTACAATCGTCCACATGTGGTAGGTCATTAAAGGAAAAAAAAACAAAAACCTGTCCTTTTGAGAATGAGAAAAATGGAAAGCTGAATTTGTAAAACTCAAATGCCTATTTAAAAAGCAGCATCAGTCCATGAGTGGCATCCAAAGGCCATTTCCCAGAAAGGACGACAAACCACCCCTTCCCCACAGAGCAGCACCAAGTGCATGTCCCTCCATGTCTGCAGGCCAGGAGGCTGGCTGTCCTTGCCTGCATCCCAGGCGGGACGGACCACAGGGCAGAAAAGGGGCAGAGGTAGAAGGACATGAGCTGCTCTTGAACTTCAGGTGCATTTTTGCTTTCTGAAACCAGAGTCCATAATCTTCACAGCCCAGGAGCCAAGTATGTTCTAAATGATGAACTCAGTTTGAAACTCAGATTTGGGCTCAAAGTAGGCACTTTCCACATACTCCTGGGGGTTCATTGAGCACACTGCCAGTCCACCAGAGGCTGTGTACAACTGAAGGGGAGGGGAGGAAGAGCAGGCAGAGTCAAGGGGGCCTGGGCTCCAGCTGCAGGAACACCAGCCCTGCGCCACAGGGGCTCAGCTTCTGGGAGGCTCTCACCCAGCTGTCTAGCAAGGGTGCATTTTCCAGCAGCTCCACAAGGTCCCCACTTGCCCTCTGGCCAAGAGACCCCAAAGCAAGGTAAGGAGCACACTTTAGGAGAAGATCTGCAGTGCCACAGATAGCCACACCCCTCTGGAGAGAGGGGGACACCAGAACCCCAAAGGGATGATGCAACACCCAGATGCAAAAGGATGCTGCCTGTGGAGTTCACTGTAACTGATATGGTCACTGCCTCATGGTTCCAGTACTTTCTGTAAGCGCCAACTCCTAAAGCAAAAATGTCATGGTTTCCGAACTCCAAACAAGAGGTGTCCCTCTATAATTGAAGGTGGCAGACCCCATAATTTTAAGAAAGTACCAGTTGCTGCTGGGCACAGTGGTGCACACCTGTAATCTCAGCAGCTCAGGAGACTGAGGCAGGATTGCGAGTCCAAAGCCAGTCTCAGCAACTCAGTGAGACCCTGTCTCTAAATAAAATACATTAGGGGCTGGGGTTGTGGCTCAGCAGTAGAGTGCTTGCCTAGCACATGCGAGGCCCTGGATTCGATCCTCATCACCGCATAAAAATAAATAAATAAATAAATAAGGGTATTCAACTAAAACTAAAAAATAAATATTTTTTTAAAAAATACATTAAAGTGGGCTGGGGATGTGGCTCAAGCGGTAGCGCGCTCGTCTGGCATGCGTGCGGCCCGGGTTCGATCCTCAGCACCACATACCAACAAAGATGTTGTGTCCGCAGAGAACTAAAAAATAAATATTAAAAAAAAATTCTCTCTCTCTCTCTCTCTCTCTCTCTCTCTCTCTCTCTCTCTCTCTCTCTCTCTCCCCCCTCTCTCACTCTCTCTTTAAAAAAAAAAAAAAATACATTAAAGGGCTGGGGATATGGTTCAGTGTTAAGCATCCCTGAGCGCAATGCCTAGTATAAAAAAAAAAAAAATCTGGCCACACCTTCACTTTCTGCTCAGCAGTTACCAGAGCCCCTGCCAAGAGAAAGGACTCCCCGTGGGCCTTCCGTCTCCTTCAATCCCAGCCAAAAATCTCAATCCTTCCCTTCAGCACTTGACCACAGCAAAAACTTATAAAAAAATTCAGGTGTGGGACTTTTCTCTGTGTGTTCTGGGAATTGAGCCCAGAGGTGCTTAACCACTGAGCCACATCCCCAGCCTTTTTTATTTTTTATTTTGAGAGACAGTCTCAGTAAGTTCCTGAAGCTGGCCTCAAACTTGCAATCTCCCAGCCTGCCTCAAATTCCCAAATTGCTGATTTACGGGCATGCACCACAGTGCCCCACATAATGTGGCATTACTGCCAGTGTTGCTTACTCCTTGTTCACTTTTTTAAAAAAGGACCCTAAATCAAGGACTTGCAGCTTGCTAACATATAGCAAAGCTTAAAAATTCTGTCAGTAATAAGCTGAGGTTCAGGTCAGCCATGAAGCACTTGCCTACCATGTGCAAAACTCAGGGCTCCACCCAGTGATGCGAAACGACAAAATTCTGACAGCGCGCAATCTTCCTACCAAAGGTCCACGGCAATGGAAACCGGACTAGTTCCTTCCCTACATGTCATACAGGCTGGGTGTCTGACATGGGGGTGCTTCTATAGAACCAGGAAAAGGGTAGTTACTAAAAAAAACTGGATTATCACACCTCTTTGAGGGCAGAGAGCAGGTCTTCACAGGATCAACAGTAGGCTTAACTCAGACCAAAAGCAAGGCACAGTAGTGCACGCCAGTAACACCAGTGACTCACAAGGCTGGGCCTGGAAACTGTGAGACCCTATCTTGAAATGAAATAAAAGAGTCTGGTGATATAGCACAGTGGCAGAGCACTTGCCTAGCACATGCAAGGTCTGGGGTCACCCCCAGCATTGCAAAAACAAACAAAAGTAAACCTGGACTTGTAAGGAGAGCACTGGACAGGAGGAAAGCTGTGCTGAGGTTCCAGGGCTTTGTCAGTTCTGCAGATGCTGCTGCTAGTTCGGAATTGTTACCATGAAACAACAGGAGGAATCTATGCCCCTCAGGTCTATTCAGAACCCTGTGACAACTAAGTTAGGGATAAAAAGCAGCTGGAGAGAAGGTCAAAATGCATTACCAGGGCAGTAGCACTGACAACATTACTCTGTCCCATTCACACCTGTGGCCACTGCAGTCACAAACTTGGACCCGAAGTGCCCATCAGGAGACAGCCGGCAGGCGTTGGGGTGTTTATTCTGGAAGTCTCCTGCAGTGATGCACTCTTCTGAGCTCAGGAAGTAAGTGTCCTAAAATGAGAGGAGCAGCATGCCAGACCTTACAGCATCACGTCAAAAGGGACCGTCTCTTCTTTAGAGAATAACAGATGCCAAAAACTAAGCATCTCCAAAACCACAACAACACACCCCCAGGATTTCTGGCCACTGTGGCTCCTTCAAAACTACCAGAAAAGCCTGAAGCACTAGGACCACCCAGAGAGGTCTGCACAGGGAGTGGGTTTGGCTCTACAGGCAGAGCCCACAGACCTGGCCTTGACTTATCAAGGTTATCTTGAAAACTGCTTGACTTAGAAGCTCACAGGCGCTGTTCAGAGACCCCGAAATGTGAGTCAGCACTGCCTGTACAGGGCGCTTTAGGCTAGCCAACATCCCAGTCTCCTCACCTTATTCCGACTGTATCTGACTGTACCCTTTCGGGTATCTTCTGAGACGAGGTCTGTGAATATCCAGCCAACCTTAACAAAACAGCAAAGTGTCTTAGAAGGTCTACATCACAGACAAAGAAGACTCCTGGCCCCGCCCAACAAACACAAGAGGTCTCCGGTCAGGAGCCTTACTTCCCCCACCCGGGGCCAACTCTGTGAAGGGCTCCCCAACCAAGCTACCAAGGCCACACTACAGCTTCCACAACCCACTCAGCAGAAACTGTTGGGGCAAATGAAGACTTCAATTCTTTATGTGTTAAAAAGGTTCTGCTGGGGGACTAGGGTTGGGGCTCAGTGGTAGAACACTTGCCCAGCACATGTGAGGCACTGGGTTCAATCCTCAGCACCACATGAAAATAAATAAACAAAATAAAGGTTCATTAACAATTACAACTAAAAAAATATTAAAAAAAAAAAAAAAAGGTTCTGCTGGGCTGAGGGGCATAACTCAGTGGTGCAGTGAGCACATGCCCTGAATTTGATCCCCAGCACCACAAAAAAAAAAAAGAAAAAAGAAAAAAGGGCTGGGTGGGGTGGAGGATTATGCTCAGCACCAACTGTGCCCAGCACTGTGCAAGAACCCAGTGTGAAGGAGACTAACAGGGTGGGGTAAAACAGTTCATGCTCCAAAGCAGACAGACAAGGAGAAGCACTGTGCAGCTTCTGGGGCTAGACTCCTCTGTAAGGGGAAAAGGACAAGGACACTCTGTAAAGAACTAGAGGGCAGGGGCTGGGGATGTGCCTCATGTGGTAGCGCGCTCGCCTGGCATGCATGCGGCCTGGGTTCGATCCTCAGTACCACATACAAACAAAGATGCTGTGTTCGCCGAAAACTAAAAAATAAACATTAAAAAAATTCTCTCTCTCTCTCTCTCTCTCTCTCTCTAAAAAAACAAAGAACTAGAGGGCACCACAAAGGGGACTGCACTCCTGTGCCCAAGATCCAGGACAGGCCCAGCATCTGAAAATCGGCCACTAGGGACCCCAAAAGGTCAGTCCCAGAGTTTGGGCAGGGTACAGTTTCCACATGTCCTACAGCAATAGCACCTGCCTTTTCTGTTCTAGGCCCACCTTGGCCTCCTGAGTCGCAAGCCTAAGAGAGGCTGTCTGAGCAGTGCCAGAGGCCAGGCACAGTATCTGCCTCTACCCTTGGGGCAAGTGAGAGGTGCCTGCCACCTTCCCCAGCATGGCCACTGGGTGCACCAGGGACTGTCACCATCATCAGAATGCCCCCAAACACCCCGAGGAATAACAATGAAAAGTTCAGTTATGTCTTCATTGCTTTTGCTCCAAAGCAAAAAAAAGCAATGGAGATGTAGAGGGTGACCAGGCAGTACATAAAGCAGCTGAAATCACGCTGGAGTTAGTAAGAGCAAGTGTGTTTTGAGAAACACACTTAACTTTTGACATTTCCCCTTTTTAATTATTTATTTTTTAGTTACAGGTGGACACAATATCTTTATTTTTCTATTTTTATGTGATGCTGGGGATTGAACTCAGTGCCTCACACATGGTAGGTGACCGCTCTATTTCTGAGCCACAACCTTAGCCCCTGACATTTTCTCTTATCATGATGTTATGAACAACGGATTATGACAAACACAGGTCAACTCACTGGGCCAGTTTCTCTTCTGAATAAAAGAAATTTCCAGAATTTGAACCAGACCCTAACACTACATTAAGAAACTGTCTCCTGGGCTGGGGTTGTGGCTCAGTGGTACAGCGTGTGCATAGCACATGCAGGGCCCTGGGTTCGATCCTCAGAACCACATAAAAATAAATAAAATTAAGGTATTGCGTCCAAATACAACTAAAAAATAAATACTAAAAAAAAAGAAAGAAAGAAAAAGAAAAGAAACTGTCTCCCATTGGAAGCTGTAGGACCTAAGTGCCCTGTGACCTTGTAATTTTCCTAGGCTTTAAAATACATTTCCAGACTTCCCACGTATCTGTAGAACGATAAAATAATCCAGATTATTTCTCACTGTCCAAACTGACTAGGGATAAAGCATAACCCTGACATGGCTACTAAGGCTGAACTTCCAAGATGACCTCAAATGCACTGCCCAGTGTGTCTGCAAACCCCACTTTCCTGGGAACTTTATCAGGAGTGTAAGCCAAACCAAATCAACAGACTCTGGAAGAAAAGTCCCCTCCTGCCCTCTAATTGTCCTGGAAAATAAGTAGACTCCAGAATCAGGTGCCGGAATCACAGGCAGGAAGTCTGCTAATGGATAAGAAGTGCAAGGACAAGGACAGCCACACCAAGAGGGGCAGGCACCCCTCAGAGGCATACGCAGTACAGCTATGCAGCTCCCAAGCAGTGGCCCCCAGGCAGTGTGGCTGACAGAGCCGAAGATGGCTTCTGTGCTGCGGTCACACTTTTAGGCACAAGGGAATGTCCCTACTTCACTCTAAGTGAGATGATCACAAAAGCTATCAGCATCCAAGGAACACAAGCAAGCTTCCAAATGGGTCAAGCCTACACCTGACCTTGTACAGGTGATGACAGTGCATCCCAGATCTGGCCCGGCCACCCCACCCACCTAGATTCCCCAGCAGAGGGCATAGGCTCCCCCAAAGGCCACCTGGTTGACAGAAGGTCCTATACCTTCCTTAGGCCCAGTTTGGCAGCGATCTCATCAACCACCTCAGCTTTCGGGTCCTCAAGGAGCTCCAGGCTGTTCTGTGTGCCAATCTATTGGGAATCACAAGGAGAAGATGGAGTCAGAGGACAGGCTGAAAGAGCAGCACCCCCATTTGTGTCCACCTTTGAGGTCACAGGCATGCTTGTCTCCTCCCTGGAGATGTATAGCACTGAAGAACAAAGCCCATTCCCCTTCTGTCCTGAGGCTGTGATGTGCTGAAACCTGGTGTGGCCTGAATGCTGGGAGTGCCACCAAGTCCTGAATCAGGTGTGTTCAGGATACAGGAAAACTGTCCTTGCTGTCTGAGAGATCCCTTCACTGGAGAATAAAGTTATTGTCCCATAAGCAGCTCTGCCCGAGATGGGTTCTGCTGACAGACAAGACTGCAGCTGTAAGATGCATTCACCCCTGGATCAGCACAGGGACACGCAAGCATGCCGGGGATGACCCCAAGTCAAAGGGTCAGTCTGGACCACAGCACAGCAGACACGCACCACAGGAAATACACTCTCTGCAGTTCCAGGTCCCATCTACAGACCTTGAAACATGCATCCCAGCAATGACTGCCAGGCATCTGCCCTGGGTTAGGAGGCTCAGAAGGTAGGCTGACAAGGAGTGAGGTGAAAACAGCAGGCAGCAGACGGGGCACACAGAGAAACCAAGGGGCACAGCACAAGCCTGCATACCTGTGCACCTGCTTACATGAAAAAGTCAAATTCAGCCGGGTGTAGGGTACATATGTCTATAGTCACAGACTCAGGAGGTTGAGGCAGGACAATGGTAAGATGGACAATGGCAAGTTGCCTGAACAACCTAGCGAGGCTCTGTCTAAGAAGAAAATAGGTTAGAGATGCAGCTCAGTGGTAGAGCACCTCTGGGTTCAACGCCCAGTAAAACGGGAAAAAAAAAAAAAAGGTCAAACTTTAGAAGTCAGACCAAAAGGAGGCAGAGAACCAGGTAAAGGGGAATATACCATTTTGTAAAGCTGACTTTGTAACTGTGCAAATGGTTTTGTTTTATTTCCAACTTTTGTTGTTTGTTTTTTAACTTTTTTTTTTTTTTTTTAGTTACAGGTGGGCACGATACCTTTATTTTATTTTTATGTGGTGTTGAGGATTGAACCCAGTGCCTCATGCATGCTAGGCAAGCGCTCTGCCACTGAGCCCCAACCTCCCAGMCCTGCAAATTTTGTTTAATAAAATCTCAAACCCTTTGTAGCCCTATCTTGGTGGTAAGTTTTCAGTTATTTTGGTCACTCTGAAACTGGCCTATCACTCACAGGATGGCCACCTGAATAGGGGTGAAACAGAACAAGATAGAAGAGCTACAGCAACTGCACACCTGCAACGCGTTGCGGGTCAAGCCTGTGATTGCTTCCACCTGCTTCAGTTGCTACCGACTCACTGCATCAGAGAGCACCCATGGCCAAAGAAACACAAGGTACCTGGGGTGTAGTCTTTCTCTCCAGTAACTCAGAAAGTGAAGCAAGCATGCGTGCATGTGAAGAGGCAGGGCGTACCAGTAACAAGGCACATGGGGAAAGTCGCCACCTCTGCAAAGTGTCATCCGCACAGCACTCAGACATAAGCCCATGGCCCTCAGGGACTGAGACCCTGCACACTGTACCTGAGGAGGTTCATAAATTGCAGCCACCTCAGCCCTGATGCCCAGGGGAATATCCTTGTGCTCCGTGTACCGTCCATACAAGTACCCGAAGTGCTGGTTCCCGGTCTTCCTCCAGAAGTCAAGAAAGCGGTCAGCAACGGTATGATTCTCAAACATGATATTGTCCACATGCCTGTATTTCTGTAGAGTTAACAAGGGGCGAAATTAAAACAGTCCACCAAAACCTGCTTTACTAAATCAAACCACCCCAAAATATTTTTTAACCTAGTTCTTTAAAAGATAAACCAACAAAAAACAAAACCCAAGTTTTAAGAACCTGATCTGCCCAGGGTAAGGGTAGGGGGCACACTACCAGTCAATAAATTTAAATTAATCTCACTGAGATTTCACCTAAAAAAGGAGGTTTTAACAATCTCTAGGACAAAAAGTAAAAAATGGTTTTGGAGAGGAGGAAAGGAGGTTGGTTTCCAGAGTTAGGAGACATGGCCCTCTGTGAGGGGCTAGATGTGGGCAGAAGTGGTAGGGACAGATGCACGGGCCACTCTCAGGACACTGTGCTGAGCTACATGGCCAATACGGCACTCCTGAGCCAAGTTCGCCTCAGAACCTGCAAAGGTTCCCTATGCGGTCTCAGGAAGCTCCCTCACCAGCCCCCACACCTCCACAGAACAGGTTCTTAAGAGGCAAAGTCACTAAGCATTTAACAAAATTTCCAAAACATTCCACGACTACGGGAGCCCACAAAACAGAATGAAGCTCCTGCACCAAGGCCACAAGCTAGAAGTTCTACAGATGACATCCTCAGCTCAGGACCCCCACGAGAAGGCTGACGGACAAGTCAGCAATGCCTGAGGATCTGCCAATGGAAGACCCTCTCCCAGGGGACGTCCACATCACAGCCACGAAAATCAAGCTCGGGACAAGCCATCTCACCTGTCTGTTCAGTGTGATGGCACTGGGCTGGCACTTGGTACAGATGCCGTTGGGCCATGGGAGGTGTCCCTCACACCCGGACTTGATCTTGCAGCTGATGTTCTCCAGGGCAACAAACTTCCCCCTGAGGGACAGCAACTGAGTTAAACTGATGGTGGTGACAGCTGGCAGAGACAGGAAGGGCATGGGAGCCAGCTTCCTCACACCTGCTGAACAGCACTCCCCGGGGCCAAGCATGCAGGAGAACAAGCCGTCACCACTCCAGTGCAAGTTGCCTAAGCCCAGCTTGTCCTGCACTGGGACACAAAGCTCTCTTCCTGTAGACAAGCTACCCCAACACCCATGAGGTTTTCAATAATGGCCAAGCGGCTGTCGATCTAACCTGTGCCAATCAGGGCAGCTCCATCAGCTTAGCAGCAGCCGGGACATGACCAACCCAGTATTTTATACAGCTGCAAAAACTTCTGACTCAGGAAAAACACGATTAGAGTACAGCACAGTGATCCCTTCACTCTGCTATTAGTTGGAAAGGGAAAAAAAAAAAAACTACTTTTGGGAGTATGTCAGTGAGAAGTCCTAGACCCTGCGCTGAACCCGGGGTGAATCTGTGTGAGTCAGGACTGTCTTCCCATTCACAAATGATCTAAAATTTCTTTCTTCCCCCCAGCTTTACCGGGATATAACTGACAAAAAAGTTATACGTGTATTTAAAGTGTACAGTGTGATACTTTCTTTTTTACAAAAACTACGTCTGGTGTTCTTTTTTGTGTATGTGGTACTGGTGACTGAACCCAGGGGTGGGGCACTCTGTCACTGAGCTACATCCACAGATTTTTTTTTTAGTTGTCAACAGACCTTTTTATTTTTTAATTTATTTATATGCGGTGCTAAGAATCATGCTAGGCAGGCGCTCTACCACTGAGTCGCAACCCCAGCCCCAGATCTTTTTTTTTTTTTTTTTTTTAATATTTATTTTCCAGTTCTCGGCGGACACAACATCTTTGTTGGTATGTGGTGCTGAGGATCGAACCCGGGCCGCACGCATGCGAGGCGAGCGCGCTACCGCTTGAGCCACATCCCCAGCCCCCCCAGATCTTTTTTTTTATGTTTTATTTTGAGATAGGGTTTCCCTAAGTTTCATAGGCTGACCTCCTGCCTCAGCCTCCTGAGTGGCTGGGATTACAGGTGTGTGCCACCACACCCAACTGGCATTCACAATTTCTGAAATACATCCACCTTGCGGAATTGCTAGGTAATATATGCACTGCCAGGTTATGTATCACTCTCCTATCACAAGCCAAGAGCACACCTGATGTCTCAGCAGCTAAGCAGCCCTATAGGCGTGCCCAAGGAGGCTGCGTTCCTTGACCCAAACTGACAAAGGCTGAGCAGCTCCACTCATCTCGGTAAATCTCCACCCAAACCCTAGTAGAGGAAGCCCAATAGCTTTCCCACTGACAGGCAAAGTGTATTTGTGGTGGATTTTATTGCCTGGCCTAACACTTTTTAACAAGTCATTTTAGGATGTCAGCAGGTTTTCAGAAAAAAGCTACTATCAGGCAAATGGAATATTCTTCACAAAATGTTGCTGACTTGGGCTCAGCCACCACAACCTGTTATCACACTGACAGGAATGACGAGGCCATCCTTGTGGTCCACTGCACCCTGCTGTGGTTCAGAAGTGTACAGAGGGAGCTGCACAAATGAGCACCAATGTAGGCTAGAAGAAATCAAAATGCTCTCAGTTCACCCCTTTCTGGCCACTGCTGCTGCCCACCTGTCCGCCGGGCCAAGCCAGTGGACCACAACTCCTACACCAGAATACAGCCCTCAGACAACCTTGATGCATCAGTCCCTGCTGCAGCTCTGAAAACGAAGCTGAGAGACAGGACATGAGGAAAAGGCTGACAGGCCGAAGTGGGTGAGCCGAGACTACCACAGCATGGCCATCTCTCTGAAAAGCAGTCAGTGACTCAGACCCACAGGCACAACAGGCCACCCCCACCACTCACCCGAACCCACAGGTTGCTGTGCATATGGCAAGATCGGTGGCAGGATCCACCACCAGCCATGTGTCTGCCCCACGCTCTGAGAACCGTGGACATGTAGAAGGGGGTCAGACTCTTCATGCCCACTTCTACAATCAACAAAATTCAACAGTCCCATGGTTTGTGCCCTGCCCTGATCTTCGCTTTCTCATCCCCAGACCCAGTGGCTATATGCAACAACTTGGACAGACACAGAAAAGAACATTATGCTGGGGCCAGGCTGGCTACTTACTTGTCGGCTCCTCCTGTCAGCTTCCGGATGTAGGCGTGGAAGGACATGTGCTTCACTGGGGGCTCCAGGTGGTTCAGGTAGTCCTCGTCAAACGGCTGCCAGAACACATGAGAAGCAACCAGTCACACACCAGCCAGGGCAGGGGCGGCAAGGGCTCACTGCACATGGAGGCAGAAGCGGGAGCAAGGCTTCTGCAGTCAGGGTCCACACTGGGCAGGGAGTGGGTCAGGAGCTGGGTCCTCACTTGTTCTAGGTAAGAACCAAGCTTCTCTATGTGCTAGTTATCTTTTCAATATTAAAAGGAACTTCTAGGGGTGGGGATATGGCCTAAATGTAGAGCACTTGCCTAACGTGCACAAGGCCCCAGGTTTAATCTCCAATACCACAAAAGTTAAAATTAGAATGAACCTTCGTTGACTCACTAAATACACCAGGCATGGTGGTGCCGGTCTGTACTCCCAGCAACTCAGGAGGCTGAGGTAGGAGAATCACAAGTTCAAAGCCAGCCTGGGCAACTCAGAGAGACCCTGATTTTAAAAATAACGGGGCTGGTATTGTAACCCAGTGGTACAGTGCAATTTTTCTTTTTTCTTTTTTTTAAACTTTGTTTTGGTTGTAGATGGACACAATACCTTTATTTATTTTTATGTGGAGCTGAGGATGGAACCCAATGCCTTACACGTGCAAGGTGTGTGCTCTACCACTGAACCACAACCCCAGCCCACAGTGTAATTAAAAAAAAAAAAAAAAATAGAACACAAAATTCTTTTAAACCAGATAAATTTTAGGAAAATTTTGCAAAATGAAAAGCCACAAGGGGGCTGGGGATATAATGCAGTAGTATAATACCGAAGCCCTGGGTTTGATTCTCTCCACTGCCAAAGGACCCAGAAGATAGCCATGAGATGGAGCCAGAGGAACTTCAGGCTGGCCTTGCTGCTCTGAGTGCAGTGCAGGACATCACCAGTCAGCATTATTATGATAACTCTCCATCTCACCAGGACGCAACAGGGAGATGTGAGACTCAGGGCATGGTAAATCAAAACCATGACAGGCACAAACCGACAGCCAGCTCTGTGTCAGATTTTAAAAGGATTGTCCAGGAGCTCCTGTACCTGCTGCCCTTTCATCACAGCAACACATAAGCGCTAGCCATTCATAATCCCCACTGAAGGTCACTCCCATAAATATAGGTTCAGCCTCTTTTGTGCTGCCTGCTCAAGTGGGCACAGCAGGCCCAGGACAGTAACAGATATGTCTTTGAACCACAACACTGGAGAGCAAGAACTGCTTGGACAGCACTGCTGTCACTGGTCAGCTGGCAACTCACCTCCAGTGGGACGCAGTGCACACATTTCCCCAGGGGGCCATGGCGGCACCTGAGGAGAGCAGAGGCAGAGAAAGGCACAGCAGTGTGCGGGTTACTTCCTCCCACATGCTTTACATCCAAAATGTATACCACACTTCAATAAAATGCTGCCCCACCCAGGAGGGATTACTTTAAGTAATTCCTAAATTCATGTTTTAATTCTAAAACATGAATTCTTGTAATAGTTTACTATGTGTTTTTATGTGCTATTAGGAAAAAAACAACCAGCAGAACAAATCTGTAATTTCATGGAATCTAACCACTTAAAACAGCACTAACCAAAAATGAAAGTAATGCTTGGCATGTAGAAAGCCCAGGATTCAATCCCTAGGACACAAGCAAGTACACATGCACTTGCATACACACACATACACACAAAAGGATTTAAAGTCGACTTAAGTCAATAAAAATGTTAATAAGAAGAAAACTAGTACTACACAAATATGGCAAAAACCCCCAAAGTGGTGCATTAACCAAAGTTGGTAAAATACCCACCTCATGCACATTCGGAAACACAAAGGATGTATGGTCCCAGGGTTCTGGACACTTACAGTCAAAGAGACCTCAGAAGCTCAACACATGTAATACAACGCAAAGATGTGCTTGTTTAGGAGGCTGTGGTGAGGCGGCTGGGAAAGCCAAACTGCCCCATGGGGGCAAAGCCAATTCCACTAAAGGGGTCAGGATTCTTCAATGCAAATGAGCTCTGCATCTCAGAATGGAGAAGGCTTCAGTGTCTCCCAACAGCATATTTTTTTTTAGTTAGTTATACGTGACAGAGGAATGCACTTACATATTTTGATATATCATACGTAGATGAGATATAACTTCTCATTTTTCTGACTATACATACTGTAGAATCACATTGGTCATACAGTCACATACATACATAAAGTAATAATGCCCGTTTCATTCTACTCCCAAAGCACATTCTTACTGACGACAGGTCAGAATTAACACACTGCATGCACATATGCTAAAAGATCTTRAACAAAGCCATGAGGGCCCAGATCCTGAGGGAGTGAGCACTGGACCCTGGGAGGAACCGAAAGGGGTGTACTGCCCAGGCTATGGGCATCAGTAGCTCCAGGCCAACTGCAACTGAGCAACATTGGTGACTCTCTCACATAAGACACAAAAGCAGGCTGGGTTGTGGCTCAGTGCTAGAGCACTCGCCTCGCATGTGTGAGGCACTGGTTTCAATCCTCAGCACCACATACAAACAAAGATGTTGTATCCACCGAAAACTAAAAAAAACTAAATAAATAAAACTCTCTCTCTCTTAAAAAACTAAATAAATAAAATAAAGGTATTGTGTCCCTACACAACTAAAAAAAAAACAAAAACACAAAAGCTGCTAATGCAGCACCTGGAACCTCAACATCTATTTCAGTATCAGCACCCCATCACATTTACAGGGTGACACATTAAAGAGTTCACTGAAGGGCTGGGGCAGGGACTCAGCGGTAGAGTGCTTACCTGACGCAGGTGAGGTGCTGGGTTCAATCCTCAGCACCTCATAAAAAATAAATAAAGGTATTGTGTCCATGTACCAAAAAAAAAAAAAAAAAAAATTAAAAAAAGAAAAAAAGCGAGGCACTAAGCAAATCTAAGTAAAATACAAAATAGGGCTGGGGATATGGCTCAGTGGTCAAGTGCCCCCGAGTTCAATCCCCCCCCAAAAAATTTACATGGAACATATTCTGAAGTTTCAACTGATGAAAAGCTAAAAAGATAATATGAAGTAAACTTTAATCTGAAAATACATGGTCAAACTCAAAACCTCCTACCAGACACACACACACAGGACATGTTATCAGCAGCGTTTCCTTTAATGACCCAGTAGACCATGGTGGGGGCTCCACAGAGCACTTACAGCTGTGGGTCCCGGCTTCTGTAAATCTTCCCATCCTGCTTGCTGAGGTACTGATCAATCTCATCCTCCACCACGTTGGGGGCTCCAAAGCCTTTTAACCTTAGTGAGGTTGACGTCTCCATTTCAGATGAGGGTCCAGCAAGGCTCGAGGGAAACAGGAACAACAAATCGCCATGTCTGTTCAAAAAAACAAAAAGTGGAAGCCATCCTGTACACCACCTGGGCTGTGCACATCAACCTGGATGTGCAAACTCTGACATCTTCAAAAGGCAACTGTCACTGTCCTGAACTCCTACATCACAAAGTTTCCAAAAGTAAGAGACCATAATTCTTTTTTTTTTGGTACTGGAGATTGAACTCAGGGACACTCAACCACATCCCCAGCCCTTTTTATATTTTATTTAGAGACAGGGTCTTGCTAAGTTGCTTAAAAACCTCATACAATTACTCAAGCTGGCTTTGAACTCACAATCCTCCTACCTCAGCCTCCCAAGCTGCTGGGATTACAGACATGCACCACCACACCCAGCCAAATTCTCTACATGCTTCAGCAGTAGGACCGCTGTAATATAATTTCACTTACCACTTTATTTTAGAAGCAGTGACATATGCCCATCTTGTGTGTGACTTTACACACAAGAATGGAGTCAACACTGTGGTCACCCAGGCCTTAGGCAGCTCCTCATATTTGTTCCATGCAGCCCCACCTCCCTTTTCACCCTCAGCCCTCTGTTAGGGCCCCGCACACCATGTGCCAGCTCAACATGCACGCAGAACCGGAGGCAAGGTCACTGCTCTTCAAGAGGGCACCACATTCACATCATACTTTTTTCACCCAACACCCCTCATAAAAGGTGCTCCTATCCGATCGTGACTTCAGATGACTTCTTAACACTCCCTATGAGGGACACTTCTGCCGCCCACAGATGTCCACACACAGATGCCATGTGCCTCCCCTCCCACAGGGGTGGCTCCCAGAAGCAGCTATTTCAAGTCTGCTTCCAAGGCTGCTGCTATAAGCCTCATTTTCTATAAAAATGGCTGGTATGCTGTCACTCTGTGTGTAATGGTCAGACACACACGGTCATCTGAGGAAGCTGAGTAGAGACCAGTGAGCATTTCAACTCACAGGCTGTTCACAGTAGCTCTGCGGGTCACGTGGACCAAGGTGCCGCACAGCAGTGAAACAGGGCCAGCCCTGAAGAGAGGCTGCATGAACCACCTAGCAGACACTTGGCTGTCCAGGAGGACAGGAGAGACGACTGACAGGATGGCCCACCACACACTGAGGAGCAACCTGAAGGGAGATCAGTGGCCAGGAGAGCTAACCCGAGGTTTGTGCACTGCAAAACACAAGGGAGCCGCTCTGGCCTCGGCCTTGCTCTATAGCTCAAGGGTGACAAAACTACCAACTTGTAATCAGAGGTTTCTGTTTCTAACAGCGCATTAAGAAGTCCTAAACAGCCTCCAGCTACAAAGTCCTGGCCCAGACTTGAGGTAAATTTTAACAAATATACCCTAAAAACAAAGTGAGCTCTAAAGAAAGTAAAGGAAATCCCCAGGGGTCCAAAATCCAGCAGTACAGCTAACAAAACCAGGAGATACAATTCAGAGCTGCCACAGGGCCAAGGCTGTGATCAAGAACTCAGGGTTTTGGACCTACAGTCATTCAATGAACAACAAGAGACAGGCCATGAGCCTCCCTGTCCCAGGTGGGCTGCTGAGCCTGAAACTTCCATGTGAAATCAGAAGGACATCTGAACAACTGGGGAAAGCCACAGGCTCAAAACACAAAGAGAAATCTTGCCTGCCTCCCTCCACACAGTATGGAAAAAGCCACCTCCAAGGGTCCCAGGGGTAGTGGGCCATGCGTCCTGGAAGAAACCTAGGCCAAAACCCAATGGTAAGAGTTGTGAGGAGTCCTGGCTCCACAGCTCCCCTTGTGCCCACAAAAATAAACAGGAGCCTTCTCTGCAAAAGAGCCATTAAACCCTTAGAATTCCCCAAGTTTGGTCAAACGTAACCTCTAAAACTAAAACCCCATAAACACAAAAGAAACAAGCACTCTGAGCAAGGATGGGCAGAGATGACAGCACAAAGACTGAGAGGTAGGCCAAGGACTCAGTGCTTGAATCGCAACACGCAGAAGCAAAACGCAAAGAGCAAAAGAGAAATTTTCCGGAAGGAGTTGTGGACAGCATGGCCCTGAGCATTCGATACCTACAGACAGAGGGGAAGGAAACCAGACTTTGAAACAGAAGTGAAGACGGCCAGGCACGGGGGACTCCAGCTACAGTCTCAGCGCTCGGGAGGTCGGCAGGAAGATCGTTTCAGCCCAAGAGTTTAGGGCCAGCCTGGGCAACAAGAAGATCCTGGGTTTTTTTGTTTTTAAAAAGGTAAGACCCTGTCTCAAGATAAAAAATAAAAAGAGCTACCCCAGAATAGCTGCAGCACCCTCCATCTTGACCTGCGTGTGATGGTGCCCACCCAAAGAGAGGCTGAGGTAAAAGGATGGAAAGTTTGAGGCCAATTTGAACAAGCCCAAACACATCAACACATGCTGCCCTAGGCTTCAGCACCTAATTAAATAATAAAAAGGGGAGGGGCAGGGATGTAGCTCAGTGGTAAAATGCTTGCCTGGTGCGCAAGAGGCCCTGGGTTCAATCCCCAGCACCATTAAAAAATAATAATAATAATAATAATAATAATAATAAAAGGGAGGAGGGAGAAACACCAAACAATGAAAGATATGGGAGGTGGACAGTAGCACAGGTAGGACAAAAGTGGCCATGAATTAATTGTCCCTTAAGCTGAGGGAAGGGACTATGGATTCCTCCATGTATTGTGTTTACTTTTACATACGTTTAAAATGTTGCATATTATAACAAGTTGGACTTGGAGCTGGGACTGTAGCTGTCGCAGAGCATTTGCCTAGCATGTGTGAGGCCCTGGACTCAATTTCCAGTCCCTCCCCACCACACACAAAAAGCTGATCTCGTAGAAGTGGACAGTAGAATAATGGTTACCAGACTCTGGGGAAGAGCAGGAGGGAGGGATGGGGAAAGGTTGGTCAAAAAACCAGAAGAAGGTATTTTAAAAGTTCTGATCATAAAGAAATCATCCATATTTGAGAAGCTAGACATACTTACCTTGAATTGAATGATACAATGTATATATACACCAAAACCATACATTTCATAAGTGTGTACAATTTTTTTTTGTCAACTTAAGAATTTTTTTTCAAGTTTTACATTTAAATAGCCAGTTACAGTGGCACATGCCTGTAATCCCAGCAACTCTGGAGACTGAAGCAGGAGGATCTCAAGTTTAAAGCTAGCCTCAGCCACTTACCAACGCCCTGAGCAACACAGCAAGACTCTAAGGGTTGACGGTTGAGGGTATGATTCAGTGGTCAAGTGCCCCTAAGTGAAATCTCCAGTTCAAAAGCAGTTGGAAGGAGCTGAACATGGTGGTGCCCACACCTGTGATTCCACATATGCGGGAGGCTGAGGCAGGAGGATTACAAATTCAAGGAAAGCTTTTCAGCAACTTAGCAAAACCCTGTCTCAAAATAAAATTTAAAAGGCAAGGAATGTACCTTGATGGTAGAGTGCCCCTGGGTTCAATCCCCACTACAGTCCAAAAAAAAAAAAAAAAAAACCAGCAAGAACAAAAAATATACGCCAGCTAGAAAGGAACTCCGGTTAGAATCACAGTGCACTCTGAGCACCAGAAACAGAGCCAGAAGACAGTGGAGAAAGATCTACAGAGCCTCAAGAAAGTCAAGACCACCATTAGAAACACGGATGAGGGGACTGGGGCTGTGGCTCAGTGGCAGAGTGCTCTGCTAGCACATGTGAGGCACTGGATTCGATCCTCAGCACCACATTAAATAAATAAATAAATAGATAGATAGATAGATGGATGGATAGTTAAATAAATAAAGGTATTGTGTCCATCTATAACTAAAAGAACGTTAGAAAGAAAGAAATCAATCAATCAATCAATCAATCATGGATGAGGTCCTCCATCCCAGCAAGCAGGCTGGTGAGGTGTAACTGCCACACACAGCTGCCTCCAAGGTCCTTCCCTCTGGACAGGCAGCTGAGTGTGGACAGGAATCCAAGACTATAACCCTCTCCTTGGTGACACACAACCAGAGCCCAGAGCAGGGGATGATGCCTGTGACTGCAGCTACTTGAGAAGCTGAGGTAAAAGGATGGCAAGTTTGAGGCCAATTTGAACAAGTCAGAGGGACCCTATCTCAAAAAAACCCAAAGCAATAACAAACCCACTCAACAGGCGACCCAGTCTGAATGCTTCACACCTGCAGAGCAACACAACCACCTATAGTGCTAGCAGTTAGCAGGACCATAAGTGAAGTAGTGAGGAGATAGGCAAGATCTGGGCAGCCCCAGGTCGATCAGAGGTGGTGATTCCTCCCGTTCCCTGTGTTCTCCTAGGTGAGCACTTACTTGATTTTTAGCAAGTGGAGGGATTTGCTGGACGATGCCGTTATCTCCCCAGTCTTGTTTCTATTGATGTACACTGAAAAGCCATTGTTTTGGAAGCCAAACTCCTTTGCAACCTACAACAAGCCCCAAAACAACAGAGATTTAGTAAAATGTTTCAATTTCACTATACGCAACCCCATCCATCAAACACCACTGAAGAGTCTGATACAGCGGTGTATACCTGTAATCCCAGCAACCAGGAGGCTGAGGAAGGAAAACTTAAAGTTCAAGCTCAGCCTCAACAATTCAGTAAGCCCTGTCTCAAAAGAAAATATAAAAAGGGCTGGGGGTGTGGCTCAATGGTCAAGCACCCCTGGATTCAATGCCTAATACCAAAAAAAGAGCTTGAAACGAGCAAGAGTCACAGCCATGAGTGAAGAGATTAATTTCTACTTCTGAATCAACTATAAAAACTCAATTCAATTGTGAAACCAAACTACAGAGAGAAAATAAGAATGCAAAATACTGCAAATTCAGTAAGAAATATCCACTAAGCCAGGCATTTTGTGAGATACTGGGAACATTCATCCATTCATTCAACGAATAGGAAACAGTCCTCCTTCCTGGGCTAGAGTTCTGGGTGCTGAGAACACAACACTGAATTTAAAAAGGCAAGGTCCCTCCCTGCCATCAGGGATCTTACCGTCAGATGGGGCAGACTTAGATAAGTGGTGACACAAAGAGAAAAGAACCTTTCTAGAGGTGACATAAAACTACATGATCTGAAGATGTAATTGAAAGAAAACCAAACAGAACTTGAGGCAGCCWCAGGACAGTCACAAATGACCACCAGGAGATGAGTGAGGATAAGGCAGAGAAGTTCAAGAGAAAGTGGTCACCAGGCAAGGTGGCACCCAGGGGGATGTAGCTCAGTGGTAAAACACCTCGGGCTAAATCCCCAACGGCAACAAAAAAGAGAGAAGGAGAATGGCCAAAAACCGAAGTTAAAAAACATCAAACAACAAATCCAGGATGTTCAGAAAACCAAAGTAGGATAAATATAAAGAAAATTTTTGCTGGGTACGTCAAAGACAAACCAGTGAATCCCAGAAACCAGTGGAGACCAGAAAATGATGGAACATCTTCAAATGGGGAAATAAAAGCCTGGTGAATCAGAATTCTCCATCTGGTGAAAACAACCCTCAAACAAGGTAAAATGGAAACAACTTTAGGTCAACAAAACCTCAGAGTGCCACCAGCACGTCCAGATAGACCAGGCTGAGGAGAAACATCAGACAGAAGCAGACCTGGAGAGTACACAGGAAAAGCAAGCAGGATGGGGATTATGAGGATAACTCAGAACTACCACATGGAACTACCCCACTAAACAAAATGATGTGCCTGGTTAAAAAAAGACTCATCACGGAAATTCTGACAAAAAAATGATGCAGGTCAGGAGTGACTCCAGGTAGGAGTTACAAAGGCTTCTCCAAGTCTACAATACGCTAACCCCACCTCCACCCCCACCCCCCAGATGAGAGCTATATTGACCAGGCTGGCCTCAGGCTCCTAGACTCGATTAATCTTCCTGCCTYATGAATGCTGCTGATGCTGGCCTTTTTTTTTTTTTTTTAATATTTATTTTTTAGTTGTAGTTGGACACAATAACTTTACTTATTTATTTTTATATGGTGCTGAGGATTGAATGTAGAGCCTGCACACACTATGCACACGCTCCACCGCTGAGCCCAAACCCCTGCCCTGTACCTGGCTTTTAAGATGGAATTAGTGATATAAACTTAATTAGGACAGGCATGGTAGCAAGCACCTATAATCCCAGCTACTCTCGAGGCTGAGGCAGGAGGATCTCAAGTTTGAGGCTAGCCTGGGCAATTTAGCAAGACCCTATCTCAAAATAAAAAATAAAAAAGGGCTGGGTAGCTCAGTGGTGGAGCACTTGCTCACCATGCATATGACCCTGGGTTCAATCCCCAGTACCACACATACATTGAATCCAGGACCATGTGTATGCTAGGCAAGCACTCTACCACTGAGCTTGCTCTTTTATAATAAGACCCCATCTCAAAATAAAAAAGACCCGGGTCCCTTTTGGGGTTTTCTTTTTTTGGGGGGAGAGGTTACTGAGGATTGAACTTAGGGGCACTGGATCACTGAGCCACATCCCCAACCCTATTTTATATTTTACTTAGAAACAGGGTCTCACAGAGTTGCTTAGCACCTTGCCATTGCTGAGCTGGCTTTGAACTCATGATCCTCCTGTCTCAATCTCCTGAGCCGCTGGGATTACAGGCATGCGCCACCACACCTGGCAGAGCAGCCCCTTTTTATTTTGAGACAGCGTCGTGATAAATTGCCCAGGGTGGCCTTAAACTTCGGATCCTCCTAGGACTTCGATCCTTGCTGGAATCACACCCAGATGTTTCACATCACTCACTTTCTGTGCTTATACAGAAATGTATATGCCTTTAATTTCCCTGAAACACAGTGGAATCATTCTACAATTTTTTTTTTTTTAGTTGCAGTTGGACACAATATCTTTATTTCACTTATTTATTTTTATGTGGTGCTGAGGATCGAACCCAGAGTCTTGCACGGTGAGGCAAGCGCTTTACCGCTGAGCCACAACCCCAGCCCTGAAGGACAACACAGAATAGAATCATTCTACACATTTTTAACAATTACCCTTTAACAATTCCCCTCCAAATCTTCACTTTCATAAATATTATTCCTGCAAAATAGTTTGGCTTTTGGTCCTACATTTTAAGCAGTGATCAGTTGTGACCAAGTTGTGTATTATAGCAGTGGTATACTACTATAATCCCAGCAAATCAGGAGGCTGAGGCAGGAGGATCATAAGTTTGAGGCCAATCTGAGCAACTTAGCAAGACGCCTTCTTTAAAAAAAAAAAAAAAAAAAAGATTAAGAGAGGAAATGTGGAAAAGAGAAAACACAGGTGGAAACAGTTGGGGGGTGAACAATGAACAAGACCTTGGACCTTGAAAGGTAAATGCTCAGCCTGAGTGTTCTGGGTGGCAGCTTAAGGTAAATGCTCACACCTTTTTCAAAAATGTCGCAGCTGTTTCTCTCTTCGTTGCTGTGATCCGCTTGACCCCATCTGGAGACTGGACACGGATTATCTGTTATAAATGACACAAGATGGTTAGTGCACAGCCTAGTGAGGCCTGATTTATCACCAAAACTTACATTTGCAGTTTTTCAACATTGGGGTCATTGAAACCGAAAACCAAATCCTGCCATCCCCTCAATACCCAATTCAAATCTTCCTAGGAGGAAGCAGAGGGATGAGGTTCATTAACACAGAGAGCAGTCTAAGAGAAATCCTTAGAGTTTCACCCCCCAAAATACAAGTTCAATATTTAATCTTTATTTATAAAGGTACATCTGAAATCTTCTCTCTCCTCAAACTTAGGAGGCACACACACTTCTYTTTTTTAATATTTCTTTAATTATTGATAGACTTTTTATTTATTTATACATGGTACTGAGAATCAAACCCACTTCCTCACACAAGCCAGGCAAATGCTCTAGTCTGAGCCCTAGCTCCTGTCACACTGTCTTTTTTTTTTTAATAACACCTTTATTTTATTTATTTGTATGTGGTGCTGAGGACCGAACCCAGTGCCTCGCACGTGCCAGGCGAGTGCTCTACCACTGAGCCCCAACCCCAGCCCCAGCCCAGGAGGCACACATACTTCTGCATTGGCACAGAGTGACATGAAAGAGCTGGGTATGATCCCAGCAAGGATCAAAGTCCCAGGAGGAACCCCAAAACTCAAAAGACCCACCACAAATTATGAATGACTGGATTCTTTTTTATTTTTTGGTGGGGGGATATGATACCTTTATTTTAAATATTTATGTGGTGCTGAGGGTCAAACCCAGTGTCTCACACATATGAAGCAAAAGCACTACCACTGAGCCACTCCCCAGCCCTATTTTGTATTTCACTTAGAGACAGGGTCTCACTAAGTTGCTTAGCACCTCGTGGTTGCTGAGGCTGACTTTGAACTTTCGATCCTCCTGCCYCAGCCTCCTAAGCTGCTAGGATTATAGGCATGTGCCACCACACCCAGCAAATAACTGGAATCTCACTTTGTTATATGCATAGACATTAATTAGGCTGACACATATAAGAATCACAGAAAGCCTAATTTATTTAACAAAAAGAGTGAAGTTAAAGAAATTAAGATCTTAAACACCACTGTAAACTTTGGGGGGTTTTTAATATTTACTTTTTAGTTATAGGTGGACACAATATCTTTTATTTTTATGTGGTGCTGAGGATCGAGCCCAGTGCTTCATGCATATTAGGCAAGCGTTTTACTTCTGAGCCACAACCCCAGCCCCAAACTTTAGGTTTTTAAAAACATTTTCATAGCAAGCTGGAAAAGGATAGAAGGACTGCACAGCTACTGGACAAGGGAGGGCATTACTTTCTAGGACTTGATTTTTATGTTATCAAGCCCTTCTGAGGGTACATTATGCTGCCACTGTGCCAGCTCCCATTCTAGTTAGGGAGCATGAACTGGCATGCCCTGCTACAAACAGGGCAGCTCTTGCCAAACCCTGAGGGGTGGGAGAGGAGACATAGGAACATGCCAGAAAACGCAAACCTTGTATTCTTTCCTCTCTCCTCTCAGCAGTCACTGTACTTAAAAAAAAAAAAAAAAAAAAAAAAAAAAACCTGTTGCAGATGAAAAAGTCAAAAAGACATTGTCCAAAAAAAGAGTTCCAACGATACCCTATAAAACATCAGAGTGGATTAAGGTCTATTGGACTTTGTCTATTCCACTGGAACTAATTAATAACAACATAGATTCTACTATACAGAATGACCTTCTCATTTTTTAATAACTTTCATTTGTCTTTGCAGCATTTGGGTTTAACAAAAAACAAGCATAACTTGTACTGAGGAATATACTGGCTTAGACCCTGACAGCTACAAAGCAAAATACAGAGAAGAGACAGACCTGGCCACAGCCTCTTAGTAACTTAGGTTTCCCTATTTGTGAGAAAATTAGGCTGGACTTAGTGGCACATGCATATAGTCCCATTTGCTCAGGAGGCTGAGTATCACCTGAATCCAAGAGTCTGAGACCAGTCTTGGCAACATAGATAGATTTTGTGTCAAAAAAAAGAAAATGAGCCAGGTGTGTTGATGAACACATATAAGCTCAGTGACTCAGGAGATCAAGGCAGCAAGATCATAAGTTTGAGGCCAGCCTGGGCAACATAACAAGACCCTGTCTCAAACTAATATAAAAAGTGCAGGGGCTGTAGTTCAGTGGTAAAGCGCCACTGGGTTCAATCCCCAGTATCATAAAAAAATTTCAAAAAAAGATAAAAAATCAGCCCAAAATTCTTCATAAAACTCATTATCCCCACAGGGATTTTCAAGAGACTTCCCTTTGAATTAAAAAAAAAAAAAAAAGTTTTTAAACTTCTAAACTCAATGTCAGAAGAAAGGTCAACTTTAATCCCTCACAACCTGAAAGACTCTATTACAGACACACAAAGCTATCTGTGGGAGCCCAGCCTACATTCACTAGTGGAAAATGGTCTTGCCTGTACAAGGTTGCTTTGACTCAGTAAAAAAATTTTTATTAAACTAAATAGAAAGTTTGAAAGTAGATCTGACTGTTAACCCTAACCTATTTCTAGGCAAGTCACCAATGACAGTAAAACTTTATTTTTAAAAGGAGTGTTTCTGAGGTTTCTCTTGGAACACGAATTCATGCACCATCTGCAAGCAGGGAAACACCGAGGGGACAGGGAGCCCTAAAGCGAGCCGTAAGGACGGAGAGGCAACCCTTAGAGAAAAGCCTTAAATGCAAAAGCTGAATTTTCCCAGAGACCAAGACATCCAGAAAGAAGAAGCGAAGCGCCTCAGGATACCCGGCACAGCTGCGAGGCTTCCCAGGGCTGRAGGCTGAACTCTGCTTTGCCACCCCAGAAATTCCGAATGCTCCACAACTGCCCCACCGGACTCTACCTCCCTGCCCACGTCTACGCTGGAGGGGAAACTCCCCAAGTGAACCAGCGACGGTCTCTCTGGTTTTTTCCCCTCGAATTTGCACTGACATTTTTCACTTTCAGAGGAAGAGGAGCCTGGCGATCCCTAACGTCGGGCAGAGGTGAAATCACCCTTTTTTCTCACTCCTGTTAAGCGGGCGGCCGAGTCCGCCCTGCGCCGGGCAGCCAGGCCCTGGGCGCTCCCCGCCGCCGCCTTGGGCCCGGCTCTCCCCGAGGGGCCCGGCGACGGCCGGAGGGGCGCACCCGCAGGCCGCGGAGTCGCGCCTGCGCCCGCTGGCCTTCCCCGGTGGCCGGGACAGGGCCGGCCGGACGCCGAGCGCGGGCGCGGAGGGCCCCGCCGCGGCGCCGGCAAATCTGCTGCCTCATCCCGGCAGCTCCCGCCCGCCGCACTCACGATGCTCTCGGACATGGCGGCCGCTCCGGCCTCCGCGCTCGGGCCCCGGGCCGCCGCCGCCGCCCCCTGCCGTCCCAAGGGCCTCGCAGCCCCGGCCTCAGCCCCGGCCCCGGCCCCGGCCTCCCGCCGCCGCCGCCACCGCCGCTCCAGCTTCGCCGCCCGGCTCAGCCAGTCGCCGGCGTCCGGTGCGTCGCCTAATCAGCTCCGCCGGGCGCGCAGGGCCGAAACCGAGTTCCGGCCCCCCACCACGGCCGCGCGCAGGCGCAGGCCGCGCCGCCGAGGCCCGGCGGCTCGACGCAGCAGGTGTCTGAGAGACGTCAGTGCGGGCGGCACCGTAAAGACCCGGAAGAGACGCGCGCCGGAAATCTCACGCCAGAATAACCTTGGGTGGGTTCTACGGAGGGAAACAGCACTCCAGAGAATTTAAAACGCTTTTTAGTTCATGTAGATGTTCCAGGACCGGCTTCAGTGCGGTCCACCGGCCGAGTCTTCGCTGCTCGGAGGCCTTGGTCTTGGTTTCATGCTCCGTTTTGACACTTAACTTTCAGATGTCCTGGGACCTGCGAATTTTGTAGCTAATCTCGTGTATGATTATGGAAAAAAAAAAAAGTCACGAGTCTCTGGGAGCTTTTGAAACCTCATTGGGCCCGGCTCTCCCCGAGGGGCCCGGCGACGGCCTCATTGAACCTCATTGTTCAATTTCAGATCGTACTTATTTGAAAATTAAACTGTATTCTCCTTTCCTCCCCACACCCACCTCTTAATTTCCTTGACATAGTCATTATTATCGCGATGTCAGTGTTGATAACGTGTTCTCCAACTTCCACTTCAGCAGTTATTTGGCTGATTCATGAAATCCACAAAAATGTGCCGACTGCTTTCCCGGTGTGTGGTGCGACTTTTACACTGGTGATAGAGCAGAAAGGAGATAGACCTCTGTCCTGGTAGGACTTACCAGCAGGCAGATCACCGTGCCCATCTGTAATGTCAGGTTGCAATACTTACCAAGGCAGAGCAGACTGGGGACAGTGCCAAGCTATTTGAAATAAGATGGGCAGGGCTGGGAGTGTAGTTCAGTGGAATATAGTGTCTATTCAAGTCCCTGTGTTCCATCACCAGAAGAAGATCAAGAAAGACCTCCTAGAAGGGGAGGTTTGAGCAGAGTCCCCGACAAAGTATGCTGGCAGGAGTCTGAAGGAAGAGCAGTGTGGGAGGAGGGGAAAGCACACGTGAAGCAGCCTGAGGTGCCCTTGGGTGATCCAGGACAAAGAGGGCCAGTGAGGCAGCAGGCAGTGGGGTTGAGGGGAGGCATATCAGGAAGAGCTTTGCCAGACATAGGAAGGCGTCGATTGGTGGGAAGCCTTTGGAGGGCTGAGAGACTTGCTTTCTGTTACATTTTTGAGGCTCTTCTGGAGGTTGAATGGAGAGTGGACACTAAGGAAGGGGCAGAAGGCTAATGCCCTGTGGCGGCAGCCAAGGTCCAAAGGTGGCTGGACCCAGAATAAGCACTGAGGGAATGAGAGGACTGCCTGAGAGTCACCCACTGAAACACCAGCCAGAGCCCAGTCATTGGGTTTGTTGGGATTCCTGCGGGGGGAGCAGCTTTTTGGGCTCTAGATGTGTGGGTTGTCAAGATGGAGGACACGTCTGGTGAAGTGCTTGACACAGCGCTATGCCAAGTCTTAACACAAATAATAGGTGCTGGGGATGGAACCCAGGGCCTCGCACATACTAGACAATCTTGCTCTACTGCTGAGCCACAGCCCAGCTCAACACAGAGAATGATTTTGAGCACATTTTGAATAAAGTCCATCTTGTTTGAATGATGTTGTGATTCTCCACTTTCTCAACCACCTAGAATCTGTCTGACCTCTCCTTCCATGTCTACTTCCCACTTTCTCCTGTCAGTTATAAATTGGGAGGGGTGGGGTACCGGGAATTGAACTCAGGGGCACTTAGCTGCTGAGCCACATCCCCGGCCCTATTTTGTATTTTATTAGAAACAGGGTCTCACTGAGTTGCTTAGCACCTCCCTAAATCGCTGAGGCTGGCTTTGAACTTGCGATCCTCCTACCTCCACCTCCTGAGCCTCTGGGATTACAGGCATGCACCATTGCACACAGCCTATGTAATTTACAGTGTTTTTAAGCTTCATCCATGTCATAGCATGTCAAGAACTCTTATTTATTTATTTGTTTGTTTGTTTATTATTTATTTATTTATTTAGCAGAGCTGAGGATGGAACCCAGGTCTTTGTACATGATAAGCAAGTGTCCTACCACTGAGCCACACCTGAACCCAACAGTAAATGTTTTACATAATGGAATTATATAAAATGTGACTGGAGCCAGGCTTGGTGGCACACACCTGTCATCCCAGCATCTTGACAGGCTGAGGCAGGAGAAGAGCAAATTCAAGGCTAGTCTCAGCAACTTAGCAAGGCCCTAAGCAATTTAGCAAGACCCTATCTCAAAATAAAAAAATAAAAATAATGTGGCTCAATGGTTAAGCACCCCTGGGTTCAATTTCAAATACCAAAAAATAAAAAAGAATGAAATGTGTGACTGGAGGGCAGACTACTGCTCCCTGGACTGCAGAGGAGGCCTACATGGAGGAGGTAGTCTAAAGCTGGCTGAGAACATGGGAGAGCTCTTGCCAATCATGACAGTGCAAGAAGGGTTCTTCAGGGATGACCAAGGTCAAGGCACCCAGGTGCAGCCAATGGAGCCAGAAARCAGTCCATTTGGCTGGATTATAAAGTGATGACCAAGGGCAATGGTGGTGGACCCTGGGTTCAATCCCCAGTACTTCAAAAAAGAACAACGGTGGCCCTGAAGCTCCAAGAGAGGAGGAGCCTTGAATGGCAAAGATAGAAGCCCATGGTGGGGTGGGGGGCTCGGGATGTGCAAAAGATCTGCAGGCCACCCTTCCTCCTGCCATAAAAGCACATGGGCAGGAGGCTCCTTGACACCCCTCCCCTGAGGCTTCCAGAGGACCTGTGGGACCATCATGATCCCACACCCCAGGAAGCCCAGGGAGTCCCGGGTGTGCCTAGAGCTGGTGGTGGGTGGGGATCCAGTCTTGAGAGCCTCAGAATATACTTTTTTTTTTTAAAGAGAGAGAGAGAGAGAGAGAGAATTTTTTTAATATTTATTTTTTAGTTCTCAGCGGACACAACATCTTTGTATGTGGTGCTGAGGCTCAAACCCCGGGCCACACGCATGCCAGGCGAGTGCGCTACTGCTTGAGCCACATCCCCAGCCCAGAATATACTTTTGTCCACCTGGTGAATATGTGGCCAGGCTTATCCCAGGTGCAAGGACCCAACAATGACCCTGACAAAGTCCTGCTCCTGAGAGGCTCAGAGGGTGGAACTGTAAACCTGGTACCTTACCACCGAGAAGAACGTAACTGACAGGTGGCTCTTCCTTCCTTGCAATGCATATGCTGGGGAAATAAATTGGCACTTAGACTCTGGTGGTCCACTGGGATTGGTACAGTGAACCAATTTCTGTGGGTCTGATCTCCTGGGGAGCTGAGGAAGCAGCCAGTGAAACTGCAAAACTGAAACCCATGAAAAAAAAGGGCCCTGGGTCAGAGCCACGAGGCACACACCCCAGCAGCTGTACTCATCAGCTCTGTGAAGAGCTGAGGGGATCCGTAAAGCCAGGCCAAGAATTCAGGGCCAAAGGGCTGGAGATATAGCTCAGTTGGTAGAGTGCTTGCCTTGGGTTCACAAGTCCCTGGTTTAATCTCCCACACCAAAAAAAAAAAAAAAAGGATTCAGGGCCAAGAAGAAAGACCATCTACCCCTGCACAAGCAGGGGCCGCCCTAACTCTAGAGTGTGACTCCTCACATGATCCCACTGTGACTCTGGCAAGCGCGAGGGGCTCACAGCTTGCAGAGTAGCCCAGGAGCACAGTGGCACCGCAGGGCCAGCCGCCTGGGCTAGCTCTGTGCTGAAGGATTTTTCTCCTGGCATAGGGGATGGAAGAAGGGGAAAGGAGCCCCTTGCTCTCCCAGGTAAGCCAGTGCCCATGGCCTCTGAGGTGGAAAGCTTCCCCCTGAATCCCTACCAGGGTGGCCCAGCTCCCAACCCACCCAGCCTTGTTTGCTGAGACCTTTTCTGGGCAGATGCCAGAGGACAAGCTGCTGAAATTGGGGTTGGGGGCTTCACTAATCAGGTGCCAGCTCTCTGCCCACTGCTGTGGTTCTCTCAGTCTGATGCCAGCCTCTGGCCGGTCTTGTGGACCTGGGGGCAAGTCTGGCCCAGCGCATAGCAGAAGGGGAAGACCAAGATTCCTTGAAGCCAATTGTGGATGCCCACTGCCTCAGAGAGCACCAGTCCAGCCAGCTGGGCTCCAGCAGCCTGTCTCTTTGCTCCTACTGATCTGCAGGGACCCCGGGAAGGGGGTGATGATTCCCTTCAGCTCCGCTCGAGTTTGAGTACACAGATCTCAGTGCAGTCAGACAGCTTTGCCCTGGTAGCACCCTTTGGCATGGGATCCTGGTCCAGGCTCCGGGCCACAGCTTCTTAGTTCTCACCAGCAGAACTGGACACTTGAGGGGCTTCCCTACCCAGCAGACAGGCTAGGAAGCCCCTCTCATGCCTGCCTGCTTGGCTGAGCACCCTGCTAGAAGGCCAAGTGTCCCCTTGGAAGGCACTGCCTCTTACAGATGACCTTCCCAGTTTCCTGACTACCTTTCTCCCTGCCCTGGGAACCAGGCAGACAGGACCCTGGCCTGTCCCTTCCTGCATCTTCTACCACAGGGCCCATCTAGCATTCACACTTGGTGAGGGTTCAGCTGATGAAGCAACCTTATAGATCCTGGGATGTAAGAATGGTTTCAGAGGGGGAGGCAGGAGGGCAGCCACTCGGACCACCCCCTCTCTGCGGGCCTGCCTTTCTTGGCCTGGGTGAGGAAGCCCCCTTTGTGACTACACAAAGTCACTGCTGACTTAAACAGATCTGTTTCAAACACAGAAAAAACAGCCTTGCCTGCCATGTGCCTGACTTACAAAGGTCAGGCCCGGGCAAGGCCCAAGTCAGCCCCTGAATTGCACAGGTATGCAGGGAAGGGGAGAAAGTGCATTTATTGAGCACCACCCTGATGAATCTTTACTGCAGACCTTTTAGGGTATGGTCATGGCTCTGTTCTAAAGGAGGCTGGGCCCACACCAGCAGCAGACCAGGACCCTTGCTGTCCCTTCTACTGCCCAGCCCAGCGGGACAAGCCCAAAGGCCCCCATGCCTCTTCTCTCCCGTTCCCTCCACATCCAGCTTCCTGGTCCTCCCTGACTCCTGCTGCTGAGGCCTCACCCCTGGCTGACCATCATGAGCTCCTCTTCCCTCTGCAGGATGCTGCCCACTGGGAGCYTCCCCTCCTCACAAACAGATCACCCACCACAAGCCACACTGTTCCACCTAGGGAGGACCAGGTGGGGGCCTGGAGTCGCCGCCGCTGTCCTTCAGGGGCCAAGCACCAAGGCTGGAAGAAAGGCCTGGGGGGAGGCCCAGCCCCCTCCCTCCCCACGGGGTACAGCTGCCTCAAGTATCTGTCCTTTCTCTCCAACTTCCTCTTCTCCTTGCTAGCCCTGCTGGCCCTGGCTGTGGGACTCTGGGGCCTGGCTGTCAAGGGGTCTCTGGGGGGCAGTTGGGGAGGTACCGTGCCCCCAGACCCCGCGCTGGTGCTGGTGCTGGGGGCACTGGCAGTCAGCACGGTGAGCCTGCTCGGCTGCCTGGGTGCCCTCTGCGAGAACAGCTGTTTCCTGCGCTGCTTCTGCGGGGCTGTCCTCTTCTTCCTGGTGCTCGAGGCCCTGGCAGGGGCCCTGGTGGCAGCCCTCTGGGGCCCACTGCAGGACAGCCTGGAGCACACCCTGCATGTGGCCATCACCCACTACCAGGACAGCCCGGACCTGCGCTTCCTCCTTGACCAAGTCCAGCTGGGGCTGCGGTGCTGCGGGGTGGCATCCTACCAGGACTGGCAGCAGAATCTGTGAGTCCTGGTGGGGCAGGAGGGGCACGGCCGGCGGGCTCACACTCACCTACATGTGCTCACATTGCCCACACTGTGTGCACACACTCACAGGTTCACAGGGTGCACTCCTGGGCTTTGCCTGTGTATAAGCATATGCACTCATGGGTCCTCAGCCACACACTCACCTCCAAATAAGTTCACACATGAATGTGCACCCCCCTGTGAAGTGCAGGGGCACCTGACGGTCTCTGGGCCACTGGCTCACTTTTCTTCAACAGTTGGCTGTCTCAACATCAAAAGAAAGTAACTTTCAGGTTAACTCAGGATGTCACCCTAGCTTATGACTCCACAGCTTTTCCTCCTGTGTGTGTGTGTGTGTGTGTGTGTGTGTGAGAGAGAGAGAGAGAGAGAGAGAGAGAGAGAGAGAGAGAGATTAAACATTGTGCTGGGTGCAGTGGCAAAGGCCTATAATCCCAGTGACTAAGGAGGCTGAGGCAAGAGGAGCTCAAGTTAAAGGCCAATTCAGCAACTTCAGTGAGACTCTGTCTCAATATAAAAAGGGCTGAGGATCTGGCTCACAAAGCACCTCTGCATTCAATCCCCAGTACCACAAAAAACAAAAACAAAACAACTGTCTGTCTGGGGACAGGATGCACTACTTTTTGTGTATGCTGCTGGGGATGGAAACCAGGACCTTGCACATGCAAGACAAGTGCCCAGCCACAGAGTTGCACCCCAGGCTCAATGCAGAGTTTTGTGCACTGCTCCTGGGTATCTATTTTGTCAGCTTCCCCCAGTGCACAGACACCCTGAACAGTGCCTGTCCTCCCTGAGATACCCAGGTCAGATGGCCACAAGACCCCCTGCAGTAGTGATCCCCAACCACCTTAGGCTCCCCTCAGTCCCCATCCCTTGTCACTGCTCAGTGCTGCCACTTCCCGTGAGATGTGCACACTGTTCTGAAAGCCTCTGGTGGACTCTGTCCACCTTCTGCTTCAACCCTGCCTGTTCAGATGAACTCGCAGCCCTGCGGAGGGAAGTCTCACCTCCTCAAACACTATCTGTCCATTCCGCCTTCTCACTGAACAGTCCCCTCCAGCCGGACAGCCACGAGGCCTGCCTGCAAGAGCAGAGGGCTGTCAGGCACAGGGGCCCGGGAAGCTGGTGTTGTATGTGCGTGTGCAAGTGTGTGTGTGTGTGTGTGTGTGTGTGCACGCACATGTGTGTGCATGCATGTGTTCCCATGTGGGCCTGCATTCCTGTGTGTCTGTGTGTGTGGACATGAGTTTGAAAGCCCGCAGGAGATGACCTGCTCAGGACTGAGCTTGGTGCACCTTACAGGTCCTTTAATTGCAACTCTCCTGGGACGCAGGCCTGCAGCCTCCCTGCGTCCTGCTGCATCCGTCCCTGGGAAGACGGGGCTTTGGTGAACACCCAGTGTGGTCTGGGGGCACTGCGCCTGGACGAGGACGCGGCCAGACAAGTTGTGCACCTGGAGGGCTGCGGGCCTGCCATGCTGCAGTGGCTGCACAGGAACATCCAGGCCCTGGGCGGCTGTACCATTGCCATCGTGGTGGTCCAGGGAGCTGAGCTCCTGCTGGCCACCTGGCTGCTGAAGGCCCTGGCTGCTCACAAGACAGTGGAGGCTGTGGAGGCTGGTCCCCTGTGAGCACAGGTTCCTGTGTGGCCTCCCTGCCAGGCAGAGCCGAGGAGAGGCTGTGGTATAGACAGGGCTCCAGGCTTCTCTCACCTGCAGGGTTGGGGGTCAGAGAAACACCCCTCCTCCCCTGCCAGGCCACTGCCCCACAGGCCTCTGGCCTCTGCCACCGGTCATCCCAAGGGCAGATAGACTGGCCACCTGCCCAACTGAGCTCTGGCTGCCCTGGCAAAGGCTGCGGTGGCTTATGTCTGGCGTGTCTGCCTCTGGCTGGTGGGAAGAGCGCCTGGTGGGTGTTCTTGCCTCTCCCACCCTTCTTCCACTCCACACTGCCTTGCCTGTGCTCCGCCCCCAGACCCCACCCCCTCACTGCAAGCACTTCCCTGACCTGAGGTCCCTTCTGGTCCTTGGTGCGACAGAGGGTGAGGCCGGCTTCTGCCAGAAGTCTGTTTTAGAGGAGGTGTAATTCATTCAGTAAACTGCCAATCTCAAGTGTCTGCCTGAGGACTTCTATGTGGTGGAGCCACCACCTGGTCAAAATGGGAAGTCCCAGCCCCCAGACTCCCCCATCTCTGTCAGCCCTGCCCTGGCTTCACCTCCAGGGGCAGTGAAACCCGCGTCTGATGTCCTGCAAGAGGAATCACAGAGGGCACTCTGTGAGTCTCATCTGGCCACTGCTGCAGGAGGGACCTCACGACCCTCAGCCCCCCGAGGAGGCACCCAGTGCAACCATCCAGCCTCCGGGGCACGAGTGCCAGTATGGGTCCTGCTGTGTGGCCCTGGCTGCTGTGCTCTGGGTCTTCAGAAGACCCAGCTCACCCTGGATGTGTGCTAGGTGTGTGGGCACAGCCCCAGTGTAGACTGGGGGCCTGGGTTTCCTCCCGTGTGAGGTGGAGACAGAGCTCCTGCCTCATGGTGTCTGATGCCAGGGGCTCTGTCCACCCCCTCCTTCTTGCTGAGGCCTGCTCTGACCACCCCGTGCGTCACTGACCATGGTCCCTGGAGTAAGCGAGGGACACAGCATGGCTTGTGAGTCTGAGGCCTCCAGGCCAAGGTTCAGTGGGACAGGTTGTCCCTGGTTTTTACTCTCTCCACCAGGCCAGCCCCTCCTGCCCCACCCCTGCCTTGAGCCTTCCTCCATGCATTCCTGCCCACACAGCCCTCACCCTGGGGTCTGACCTAACAAAACAGGTGCCCCAGGCAAGCAGGGACAGGCTCATTTTATTATGGTATGGAGACAAGGAGGGTGGGTCATTTTGGAAAGGCTGATGATGAAGGGCCTCATTCTGTCATTGCAAAGCAGGACTCCAGACACCCACCATGGCCCACCCATGCCAGCTGGAAGAGCTGAGGGAGGGTCCTCCTCACCTGCACAGGGGGCTGCTGACAGTGGGGGACACGTGTGGGTTCTCTCTCTGTTCCAGTCAGGAGGAGGTGAAGGCTTGGGGGTGGGCCAGGGTCTCCAGGAGGTCAGCAGGGTGTCCTGGGGAGGGGGCCTCCTGGCAACTAGCATCCAGGGCCTAAGATCACCCTGCCTGGAGGCCAGGTGCCTGCTGGGCAGGGGCCCCTGCAGGGATCCTGAGCAGGGCTCACAGCAGGCCCCAGAAGGTCTGGCTAGATGATGCCGTACTGGGCCAGTTCGTGCAGCTCCAGATGGTTGAAGGCTTCCCATGGGCAGATGACCGTGATGTCTGCAGGGAGCGTGTGGTCAGAGAGGATCCCTAGCCCAGGAATCCCCCACCCCATCTCCCTGTTTTCCCACATGCCGTCGTGGACAGCTGAGGGGGAGGGGCAGCAAGGATCTCGCATCCTCACGCCAGGTAAATGTGCTCCCCCCATGGGAACAGCCCCACTCAGTGGGAACTGAGGCTTGACGTTGGGGGAAGAGACAGAGGCAGGCCAGGGGGACAGTGCCCTAGGTAAGAAGCTGGGGGAAGCAGGGGTTGCTGGGGCTGTGGGCCCCAGGCCTGCCTTGGGGGGACCTGGGAAGACCCTCAGCATAACACTAGCCAGGGGGATACCTGTTCCCAGGCCTTCCATTCCAGGGATGTCATCCCCAAACCTGCAAGGACAGAACGGTCAGGGACAGTGGTCCAAGGTCAGGACCCAGCCCTCCCAGGAGACCAGGTCCAGGCTGGGAGCACAGTGGGCAGAGATGTGGATCTCCTCCCCAACCTCCCACTGCTGCGCTGGGCCTGAGGAGTCCCTTCCACAAACACAGGCTGAGGCCCAGCAAAGAGGGAGTGAGCCGAGGGGTTGGGTGTGTGCCTTGGCAAGAGCATAGCATGAGGACTTTTGGGTGGGCAGAGGGCAGTGTGTCCAAGTGTGCTGGTGTGGTTGGGATGTGGCTTGTGCTTGAAGGCTGGGCGCTGGAGGCTGGGTCCCCAGAATTAGGTATTGAGAGGTGGTAGGTCTTTAAGAGGGGCCGAGTGGAAGGGGATTAGGTCAGTGGGATTAATAGGCTGTAACTCTGCAGAACAGAGGAGCCTGGTGTCCCGTCTCACCATGGGATCTGTCCCTATCACTGGCAGCCTTGCCATGACAGCATCCACCATACTATGATGTAGCCCCGGGGCCCTTACCAGAGGCTGATTTGAGGGAGCAGCTCTACCAGGAAAACTTTCAGCCTCCAGAACCGTGAGCATTAAGTGCCAGCCTTCCTTGCACAATGAAAAGCAGCACTTCTCGGTGTGCACGTGGGATGTGACATGATTGTGTGTGCCTAGAGAATGTGGTGGTGGGGTGCACACACATCCCTGAGGTGAAGCAGTGGCTGAATTTCTGGCTTGCTCAGAGCCTTGGAAACTGCCTGTCCCCAGTAACGAGGTGGCTGAGCCCCTCCCTAGCCCCTATCTCCCCTTCCTGGGCAGCCTGGGGGACCGCTTTCTGAGACCCCCCCCAGCTCTGCTTACCCTTGGATGCCCTTCTTGGGTGGCTTGCTCTTAAACTGCCTGGTTTGCCGCTGCTTAAATCTGGGTGGTCCTTTCCTGGGGGTAACAGGTCCTCCGACCACCCTCGTGGGTGGCCRGATCTCTGCCTTGGGTGGCTCCAGGTTCATGGCGAGGCTGGCAGGGACACGACAGTGACCCTTGGCTTCTGGATTTCCTCAGAGTGAACTGGACTCCTCAGGTGGCTGAGGTCAGACCAGGCAGGGGTTCTGGTCAACCCTCCTGTTCTGTTGGGGTCACAACCCACAGAACAGAGAAGTTGAGACAGCACTACCTGCCACCCTTCGGTGTGCCCAGGACAGCAGCCCCACCCTGGGAACACCTTCAGCTCCATTAGGTGTACCCCCCAGAACTTTAGGTGTACCCCCAGAACTTTCATTTCCCACGGGCCCTGCCAGAGGCCCCCACTGCTACCCATAACTCAGGCTGTCTCCCTGTCTCCCTGGTGCTGCTGGTCTTGCTCATCCAACCCCCACAACCAGTCCATCCTCCTGGACCCTCCATGTCCCAAACCAGGACCCCTTACTGCCTTGGTCTCTGCAGGTGGCTCTAGAGACACTCGAGGCCTGTGTCCCTCCCCTTTGCTCAGTGACTGAATCCAGCCATGTCATCCTGTTGAAGGCCTTTGGGGGCTCCTGCTAGGACTGGGATGCAACCCAGATGAGCCCTTCTTCCAAGCCTTTCCCATTAGGCTCACCAGTCTTTGCTCTGGCCACACTGTCTGCTGGCCTTTCCTTCCGACAAATTGCTCCAGGTTGCCCTCAAGGGCTCCAGTTCCCTCTCAGGAAGGCCTACCCTACAGTCACTCTGTGCCTCAGGCCCTGATTTATTTCTTTACATCATGTGTAAGCCCAAATTCCTGATTTGTCAATGCGAACCCGTGACTGACTAGGGTCACCTGTGGGCTTTTTCTGTGTTTATTGTCAGTCCTTGGGGTTGTGACAGGGAGCTGATAAACAATGGCTCACAAAATGGGAGGACAGGGGTTCCCTTGGAGAAGGGGCCATCTCAGAACCAGATCCCGCACCTCCTGGCTCTATTACATGGAGGGACAAGCCGAGGCCTCACCAGCTCAGCGAGGCTGGCCCACTTCCACTGGCTAGGGGCCTCCTCTGGGTCAGTGTCGCCCTGGCTCTGGTGTGGCTGAGCTGGCCTCTGCTGCTGTGCCTTGATGAACGATGTCCTTGAAGGCTGATGATACCCCTCCCCAGAGCTGCTATCCAGGCCCCAGTGACCTTGGCCAGGGGCACCTTGGCTTTCTCTAAGCCTATTAGCACCAGAGAGAAACTCCTAATCTCCCAGGGAACTGCAAAGCCCCACACAGGGCCAGAGGAGCTGAGGCTGTGCACGTGGCACAGACAGAGGACACTGCCCATGACCCCAGATGCCCCAGGGACTACCTTATGGGGTCCCCTTTCCTGCTCCCCCATCTTTTGGGTTGGGGTACCTGACTGCAGCCTTGGGCTACTGCTGGCTGCTTTCTGGAGCTCTAGGGCTAAGACTGACCATGGCCTTGCTGTGAGGGCATGGCAGGGTCCACCCAATCCCAGGGGCCCTACTTTCCCTCCACGAGGCCTTGTCCCTGGGGCCAGCACCAGCCTGGGAGAAACCAGGGCTCAGAAGCCTGGTGATTCTGGTTGCGTCACCTTTGTGGTACCCATCCCTCACTTTCCAGACAGCACAGGCCCAGTCAGACCACCTCTCCAGCCCAGGCCATGGGCAGCTCTGGGCCCAAAGGGATCTCCAACTATCAAATGCTGTTCCCATGGCAATGCTGTCTGAGTGGCCCCAGGCGGCTTAGGCTGTGGTTGGTGCCAGCCAGCTGGTTGGTCACATGGGAACTGCAGCTCCCAGACCATCACTGGACTCAGGAACACTGGCACCACCATTTGACATTGGTGGGTATCCTCTCTGAAGGACAAGGGGAAAGGGGGGTGACTCCTGAAGACACAGACCTCAGCCATGCGGGTGAAGGCCCATCATCTCTCCCGACCCCAGGGCCGATGGGCAGATGCCTGATTGCCAGGAAAAGCAGCTGGGTGTGTCAGTACTCACCAGGTGCCGGTCGGTCAGGTCTCAGGGAGCCACAGGTGCCAGGGCTGAACCTGGCTCAGCAGGGTGCTTGTCCATCCACTTATCCTCCTGCCTTTGATCGGATTAAGACTCCTCTCTCTGACACCCACTAATGAGCCTGGAGCCCTGAGAAAGAGATCCTGCCCAGGATACCAGGGGTGGACAGAGGCACTTAGGAGCAGTTAAGGGCCTAAAAGATGGCCAGAGACCAGGAGGCGAAGTGTGGTCCTGAGTAGCCTATGGGTGAGACTCCACCTCCAAATGCCACCTGCCTGTCTTACAGATGGCTCTGGATCTGGCTCAGGCCCCCAATGCCTATGTGACCTGGCCTGGCCTGTCTCCACTTCTTTGGTCTTACCCTTTACTCCTGCCTCTTGACCCAGGATCACTGCCCTACTCCTGGGTGATGCAGTTCCTGTGCCTCTCCCCTTCCCCTGGTGCTTCTTGCTGGGCCTCTGGATCTCTGTGCCCAGGGTCACTTCTCAGGGCAGCCCCTCAAGCTGGACCAGATGCCTGTTTTGGCTAGAACTGTCCTTCCTCAAACATCTTGTGCTTATTTGGATGGTTTTTGTTATCTTTTGTCTTCACACTGGAGTGGAGCAGGCCAGGTGGATTTCTACTAGTCCCGGGGGCCAGTCCAGTGCTAGGCACTTCACAGATGCCCAGCAGGTAGGTACCTGTAGATGGAAAGATGAAGACAATGTTGGAGCCAGTTCTCCAGGAGAGGGCTGGCCTCACTGTGAGGGGCAAGGCCAGTGACTTCTCTTTGGGGATATCTCACTGTGTGGTCTGACTAGACCACCACTGTAATTCCAGAATGAGGCTGGTTTTGTATAACCTGCAGGGTAGGACGTATGTACTCATACTTACATGTGTGCACAGTGAAAAATAAAAAAGACCTCATCATTCAATAGATATATACATATATATGTGCTACTACCTCTCAGTCCAGTCATTATTTTTTCAGCCTCCTGAGTAGACGGGACTATAGGCAAGCACCACCATGCCATTTCACCCTCCAAACACTTTTTTTTTTTTAGTACTTGGTATCCAACCCAGGGCCTTGTGCCAGGCAAGTGCTTTACTACTGAGCTATATCTCAAGCCTTATTTTTTCTTTTTTAAATATTTTTTTTTTAGTTGTAGATGGACACAATACCTTTATTTTGTTTATTTGTATGTGGTGCTGGGGATCAAACCCAGTGCCTCATGCATGGCAGGCAAGTGCTCTACCACTGAGCCACAACCCCAGCCTTTGTTTTTTTTATTTTGAAACGGGGTCTTGCCAAGTTGTCCAGGCTGAACTTGCCATTCTCCTGCCTCAGCTTCCTCAGTGGCTGGGATTACAGGCATGGGCCACTGTGCCCAGCAGAAGATTTCTTTCTTCTTTCTTTTTTTTTTTTTTTTTTAAAGAGAGAGTGAGAGAGGAGAGAGAGAATTTTTAACATTTACTTTTTAGTTCTCGGCGGACACAACATCTTTGTTGGTATGTGGTGCTGAGGATCGAACCCGGGCCGCACGCATGCCAGGCGAGCGCGCTACCGCTGAGCCACATCTCCAGCCCCAGAAGATTTCTTTTGTCTCTATTTTGGAGACAACCCCCTCTATGTTGTGCACTACTGTAGGGCCACCAAATCCCACAGCACTGCCCTGTTTCTGGGCAACTTGTTTCTTTTTCTGGGCCATTTCTCATTTCATATAAGGTCTGGGTTAGACCACATATTTGCCAAGTTTAGGATCTAATAGTCGTTGCACTCACGTTTCTCAAGTCCAGCAAGGACTCAGTGCTATTGGATGGTGTGCATCAGCTGTTCAAGACAATAGCCTGAACCCACAGTGTCTAATCACCCTCTAGTGAGGCACCCCACCTTGTGGCCTCACAGTCCTATTGCCACAGATTCCTATATGAAGCTGGGATATGGAAAAGACTTCCTTCTGTGCAGCTACTGTATAATCCCAGCTTTCCCTAAATGATAAGCATAGACACTCAAGCCCAGTTCTAACCTGGCCACTGGCAACATGGAAATTGGAACTGCTGGTGGGAGAGGTTGGGGTGGGGAAAGTTCTATGGAATGGGGAGGGAAATGGTCAGTTAGGACCCCAAGATCAACCCCTATACATGGGCCAAAGTCCAATGGCTAGGATTGTGGCTAAGAACCAGGCTGGTGCCAGGCAGCTGGCATTGGAACTAATGCCCCAGGCCTCCCAACTACTTTGGCAGCCTCAACCTAGTGGATTTGGAAGGACTAGTTCCAAGCAGAGCTCAGGCTCCTGTGGGTGTCCACAGTCTCTACCTGGTAGGACCCAGCAGGGGACTAAGAGTGGATGGAGGGATGGGCTGCCTGCAAGGATTTGATCACAGTCCCTCACAAGCCCAAGTGGCCCTTCTGCTGCTGCACTTGTAGTGTTAACCAGAGTTGGCCTTCAGCAGGACTTGGGGGATGCTGGAACTCAGAGGGAGCCTGTCACTTGGGCACTCAAGTTGATGGGGTCTTTTCTTACCCCTGCATGCTGGAAGGCCTGTGTTGCTTGGCAGAGGTGCAGTACCAACACATACACACTGCTTTCTTCTTCTGTTTGCAGCACTGGGACAATCCCAGGATACTCACCACTGGGCCGAAACCCCAACTCTTTGTTTTTTCTTTTGAGACAGGACCTTGCTAAATTGCCCATGCTGTCTTGAACTTTTGATGCTCCCGCCTCAGCCTCCCAAGTGGCTGGGATTACAGGTGGGCACCAACATACCTGATTGCATCTGCTTTCTTTGAGAAGGCAATGTAGGCCTTAGGAAAAATACAAAAGTCTCTTGTTCAACCACTGGAGAGATTTTATTTATTCTCAGATAAAGTCAATAAAAGAGTTCCTCCTGAGCCCGTCAGATACATCAAACCCAGACAGGAGGTGTGAACAACAATCACTGCTGCTTCCTGGGCAGAAGCGGATGGACTGGCCTCTGTCCAGGGTAAGGGTGTCTTGGCCAGGCTGGCTCAGTCCCCACCTCGTGTGCGGAGCTGGATTTCCATCCTGAGGAAGGCCTTGAGGTTCTCATCGGCCACGTGCTCCTCCAGGGCAGCCAGGGCCCGCTCCCCACCATCCTGGTAATGCCGCAGCAGGGCCTCTGCATACTCTACCCACACACAGTTGGGGCAGCCACTCATGCAGCAGTTTGTGGGAAGCTGGAGTTCAGGTGGCAGAGAGTATGGGGGTCCTGAGGGGCCCCCAAGGAGTAGGGAGGCCTTGGGCTGTTTGGTGTCTTCTGCACATGCTTGGGAGCCCCCCTCCACAAGGCCGGTCTCCAGCTTTCTGTGGCCATCATTGGCTCCCACTCGGGCATGGCGCCTGTGAAGGATGCAGCCCACACCCTGTGGATGCAGAGAAGCATGACTGTGCAGGAAGCTGGTCAGGCCTCACTGTCCCCAGGTCTGGGGGGCTTTCAGCTTTCCTGTCACTTTCCTGGCTCCATGTCCTTAACTTCCCCACTTTCTGCATGACCTCAGACAAATTATTTCACCTTTCTAGACTCAGTGTTCCCATACCTAAGCCTGACAGAATGGTTGGTGTGAGGACTGAGCTCAGAGATCCGCACCGGGTGTGCGCTCCAGTAGACAGGGCAGGGGAGGGGTGGTGACCCCAGCTCAGACCACTAGCTGAGAAGTCCTGGACTGGAATGGGGAGACCCCAAGCTCCTGGCCACACGGATGCCTCTCCTCCTTCAACCCGTGTGCCGTGCCCCTCCTGATAGAACGTCCTGATCAGTCGGTTTCTGCCACCCGAGAAGCCTGGCTCTCGGTCATCCTGTCCTCGGGGCCCCACGGGCGGCCTCCCCGCTCCACCGCCCCAGCCCTCGGTCGGTCTCCTCCCGAGGCCCAGGTCACTGCCTGGCACCCTACGTGGGCAGTCTACACCCGTTTACTAGCTCCTCCTGCGAGGCGCCTCAGCTCCCCCTCGCCAAGCCCCAGGACCCAGAGGGCTCCAAACAGCGGGCGCTCAGCAGACGCGCGGGACGGCTAACCGGCCTCTCCAGACCGGGGCGGGGGGCTCCGCGGCCGGCCCCCGCCAGAACCCTCGGTCCCATTTGCCCGCCCGCCCGCCGGTACTTGCCCAGCGGCGGACGGTGACGCTCAGCGAGCGACCTCCGGGCGCTACGCTCCAAAGCAGCATTGCGGCGGCCGGGCTGAGACGTGAGCGGCGGCCGCGCGGGCCAATCCCAGCGCACCAGGAAGCCGCGCCGCTCCAATGAGCGTGGGATTGCGCGCAGGAAGCGGAAGAGGTGCTCGTGGGGCGGGGCTGTAAGGAGAGCGGAAGTGGCTTCACTCGTTAAGTGCCAGGAGCAGCGATGGAGGGAGCAGCGGAACGCCGAGCCGCGGCTTTAGCGGGGTCGGCGAGGTTTGGCGGTCGAGGGCGGCCGCAGACGCGGCGGCGCGGGCAGCAGCAGCAGCGCTCGGCCTTGCGGCCGGGGCAGCGTGGGTGGGTGCCGAGTCGCGGGAGGGGACCCAGTCAGCGAGCTTTCACGCGCGCCCCCTGGCGGCCGGGCCGGGGTCCTGGGTGCCGGCTGGGCTCGGCTCCGGGAACGTCCGTCGGATGAGTTCGCACGGGCCTCGTTCCCGCTCCGAGGCCGGCTGTGGGCCTTCCACACCGGACAGCCTCGGCGGGGTGGGAGCGTGGGCTCTCTCCCGGTGGCCGGGCCACTCCTTCCACAGGCCCGGCCTCCCTTTCTTTGATTCTGCTTAGGCTGCTCCTGGTGCGGGTCTCACCCCCGGATTCTCCTTCCCAGCAAAGGAGAGAAGGTGGTAAATTGCAAGCCCAAGAACCAGGATGAACAGGAAATCCCTTTCCGGCTTCGAGAGATTATGAGGAGCCGACAGGAGATGAAAAACCCTCTCAGCAACAAGAAGAGGAGAAAGGAGGGTATGTAGAGGCCCCTGCTGGGTGGCGACAGGCTTTAGGACTGAGGTCGCCCAGCTGTCCCAAGTAGGTGTGAGCCTTGCAGTCAGGAAATTCCCCCAGACGCAGTGCTCTGGGGCAGGGCCTGGGAGGAGGACCTGTGCTGTGGTGCGGTCTGACCTGTTCCAGCAGGCTATGGGGTTGCATTCCTAGGGATGGCCAAGCTGGGCATTTCAGGTCTTCTGGCTGTTTTCCCTTCCTGTGACCTTGGAAGGTGAAGTGAGCCTGAGCCTCCTGACCCTCATGCCATGCTCCTCTGGTGTCTCCCTTTGTCCTCAGCTCAGGTGGCCTTCAGGAGGACTTTAGAGAAGGAAGCAAGGGGAACAGAGCCAGACATTGTTGTCCCTAAGTTCAAGCAGAGGAAGGGGGAGTCTGATGGGGCTTATATCCAGCGCATGGAGCAGGAAGCCCAGCATGTGATGTTCCTCAGTAAGAATCAGGCCAGCCGTCATCCAGAAGTGCAGGTGGCTTCCAAGAAGGAGAAGTCTGATCGGAAGAAATCGTGAGTTGAGGGATGGTGGGGTCAGGGTCACCTGGAGGCACCAGGGAGGCGGGGCTATGGGTTCCAACAATTGTTCTGCAGTGGCAGCGCTTCATTGCCAAGGTCAGCCCCTGCCCACCTGACCATAATTTCAGGAGTTAAAGCCCTGGTCATGGCAATTTCTTAACCTGGGGGAGAGGACTCTGGACTCTAAGATCTTTGCTTTATCTTTACCTTTCTCTGGAAAAGCATCAGAGGGGTCCAATAGCCAGGCCAGGTCCAGGGCCAGCTCCCCCACCCCACACCTGCCTGTGAGAGGTATAACCATAGCTTTTCCAAATGAACCAACTCCAGCTTTTGTTGAAGTTAAGAAAATATTTCTGYAGCTGTCTATTTTCCCTCTTTGCTGGTACGAGGAGGACCACCTTTGTTTTTGGCTGGTCTTAAATTTGTGAGCCCAAGGGCTCCTCCTGCCTTGCCTTCTGAGTAGCTGGGACTGCAGCAGGGCCTGCATCACCATATCCAGCAAGTCACATCTGTTTGAGTCTTCTCCAAAAGCTACAAAGGGTAGTTAGATTGTTTCTGGCTTTGTAGAGTTTTTCTGCTTCTGAATTCTCATGATTCTTGTAGTCACTTTAGCCAAAAAAAAATTTCATCACAGAAAACAGCCCAGATACAGCCTGAAGCTTCAGTGATCTACACAACTGTTCTGAAGCCATAAATTCAGGGTCACGATGAGGTGCTTTGTCTGATGTTGCCACTTTCTGTCTTTTGGACCTAACAGCATAGCTGACACTCATGGTTCTCTTCAGAGCTGCTGTCCTGTGCATTGTAGRGTGTTCAGCAGTGTCCCTATCCCCACCCCCAAACAATATGACAATCCATAATGTCTGCAGACATGGTCAAGATTCCTTGTGGCTGAGAACCACTGTTGAAATCCCTGAGAGGCCTGGTGGGTGCAAAACAGGCTCTGTTGGTGACTGTGGATTGGAGGCGAGGAGGGGAATGGGAGCGAGGAGTGGCCATCTGGGGTTAGGTCTCAGCTCTGCCACCAGGCACCCCCCTCAAGGACGGGGTGCCCTCTGTATTCTCAGGCAGACTGAGAGGTTAGGAACTCTGCAGCATCCTGCTTTCTTCCCAGTTTCCAGAGACGACGACTGGACAAAGCCCGGCAGAAGAAGGAGGCAAGGGCAGCAGATAGGCTGGAGCAGGAGCTGCTGCAAGGTATTGCTTCCCAAGTGGCCATGTCCACGGTGCTCCCAACAGGGTGGGCCTGGGCCTGGGCCTGGGCCTGCTCTTTGCACCAGCCCTCTTGGTGGGCCCATGCTCTCCTTTGGGGTTCACAGCCAGGGAGCGGGCCAGTGAACAAGCCCATGTTCTGTGTCCTGGCCTATAGGATAGGGCAGGGTACAAAGGCTGTGGTGGTTGTGTGGGCAGCAGGCCTTTGTCCACTCTGCTTCTCCAGATACAGTAAAGTTTGGAGAGGTCGTCTTGCAGCCCCCAGAGCTGACCGCCAAGCCCAGGAGGAGTGAAACCAGAGACCAGGTATGGGGGACCAAGTACATGGAGAGGAGGAGTTGCTGGATTTGCCTGAGGGCTTCCCGGGAATGAGAGCCAGGACCTGTGGGTGCTGGCTGATGGGGGGCCTCATTTAGGACTCTACACCGGGTTTGGAGCTGTTGGACCAGGTGTGGCCTTTGCCATCTCCTGAGCCTGCACTTCAGCCTGCCTTCTCTTCCTCAGCCTGGCCAGAAGTCACTGATGCTGAGGAAGCTTTTGATACCCAGCAATGTGTCCCAGCCCCTGACCATCTCGCTGGCCCGGCAACGAATCATGCAGGAGGAGCGGGATCGGGCTGTGCAGGCCTACAGAGCTCTGAAGCAGCAGCAGCAAAAGCAGAGCACATTGCCTCCAAAGCTGCCTAGCCACACCCAGAGGATACTTGGAGCACAGCCATGATGGAGAGATCCAGAGCCTATGTGAACCCTGAAAGCTGCACCTAGGCAGAAGCAGGCCACACAGACGGATTTCTCTGGACAGGCCTGCATGCCGGCTGGCCTTGCAGGAGAGTCTTTTTAGGTCTTTTCTTGTTCTTCCCCCTAAGGACTGTCCTTTCAGTATTGACCACCAGCGGGGTGGATCACAGGATTGATCCCTAGATTGGCGCTGGTACCTGGTTCAGACCCAGCCAGTGAGCCAGGTCTCATTGTGCTCCTGAGCCTAGCTTCATTCTGAAATACAACAGTCCAGACTGAGATAACCCAGGGCCACTTAAGGGTGGGCCCAATCCCATGACCTGCCTCTAAACACCTGTTTCTCATTGAAACTGCTGAATCAGGTCAGCTCAGAGTTTAAGAGGCTCTGGTGGATTCATCAGCACCACACAGGCAGGGGCCATCCTGAGCAAGTAGCAGGCAGACCCTGGGGCAGGGCTGACAGGCAGCGCCTAGACCACCTTACAGAGTCTGTAAGGATCAGGACCCCAGCCCACTTAATGCTCCTCACAGAGGCGGGGGAGCCCCAGCTCAGCTATGGTTTGGAGACAGATGACTGTCCATGTGTCAGGAGAGTGGGAGCATGTTTCTGAGCCACATAATAGGTCTTTGGGAAATGGGGTTGGCCTCGAGAGAGGGCCCAGACTCTGATTAGAGAGCAGGACTGGTGAGAGCTCCCATGTGGAGCAGGATCTTGCCAGGTTTGAATCTCCTGCTGGCATCCAAGGAGGGAATACCTGGCTGTCAGCTACAGATGGTGTGTATTGGGAGAGACGTAAAATCCAAGTCTGGACTGAGGATGTGGCTCAGAGTGTTTGCCTAGCATATGTGAGGCCCTGGGTTCCTTCCTAGCACCTTGTGGCACCCTGCTGGGAAGTGAGCAGTCCTTCCCAGCTGCACACCTCCCTGTCTGCCCCTGGAGAAGTGGTTCAGAGAGCTCAGCAGAGGCCGTGTTGGCCCAGGAGAACTTGAGAAGGCAGGGACCCCTTTTCTTGCTATCTCCAGGATGAGCTGCATTGGTCCTGTGTCGCCCTTCCACGGCTTGCATTTTCCAGAACGAAGTTTATTTGTATTAAAGTTTTATTTTCTTGGAAATTGGGCTATTGCCTTCTTGAGTGGTTTTGCCACCTTGTGACAACTCACTGGTATCCCCATACCATGTAAGGGTGATTAGGAGTGGGTGGCTCTGTTTGGAGATACACCTGGCAGCACTGATRGCCTGGGGCAGTCCAGAGAAGCACAAGTCATACCGTTTGCCACCGGATTTCCTAGTTTGCATCAGGACGCTAGTGCCAGGCACAGTCCTGTGGAAGACACAGGCTTCCGAGTCTACAGGAAGCAGTGTGACCTTCTGCTTAATGTATGTGATGGGCCCTCTTATAGCCACTGTCTTGGATTAGGCACTCTATCTCCTCTCTGGTTCCTTAAGCCTTCCTCTCTCAGAGACCTTAACAGAATCTTGCTCCCCACACCTAGGCCAGGCTGGGCCAGGCTGTCTGGGGGCTGGCTCTCTGCCCGGTGTCTGGCGGATTTTCTGCTCTCCTTGCTTTCTTTTTTCTTTTTTTTAATATTTATTTATTTATTTTTTTAGTTCACGGCAGACACAACATCTTTGTTGGTATGTGGTGCTGAGGATTGAACCTGGGCCGCACGCATGCCAGGCAAGCGCGCTACCACTTGAGCCACATCCCCAGCCCCTCTCCTTGCTTTCTGTGCAGCAGTTGGCACTGCTTGCCTGTATCAGCCTGGGGCCTGGTCTTTGCGTGAGTACTCCTGCTGGCAGGCTGGTGGTGGCATTGCCA